TCTTGCAGCAGCTGTTGACAATGATAGCTTGCTGCATGTAATCTGCAACTCTGACGATAGCTTGGTGTGGACATACTCCACGTCGAGCTCATCGGATGACCTTAGCTGGCGCGGGTTCTCACACAATACACGGATCCCACTCGGAGGCACTACATCGAATCCCGCCTTGACTGTTATTGGCGGCAAGATTGTTGCATTCTTCTTGTGGTCTTTTTTTGACTGTCGCAGTGTTCAGCAGACTACCCTCGATATGAGCACTAAACAATGGACCTCAATAGACAGATCCCGTATCAAACAGTCTGGCAATAGTGGTATCAGTGCTATGAGCACGCCTGATGGGCAAAATTCATGGATCTGTTTCAAGAAGCACGACGGCAGCAGCAATCTGTTATGCGAATACGAGAAAGACAGCAGCTCTTGGAGCGACAATTATTCTATGGGAACAAGCGATGCCTACCTTTGCTGGAATGAAGCAGCTATAGCTTGGTCCGACAATTACGTCTACGCGGTATGGAACTCACATCTGTCCGGAAGCCCTTTGTGCTATAGCCGGACCTTGTTGAAGCCTACCAGGTTCGGTATGGGCTACACGCAAGACAAGCCAAGCTCCACAGACGCAATTGTCGATATGTCCACTATGAACATGGACAAAGTCGCCAACATCAAGTACTACAACATATCTAAACCCGAGTGGGTAATGAACCAAGAATATGTGGGGTCTTGTACCGCCAATGCCGTCGCAACTGCCTACCGCTATGAGCTTAAACGCCGGAACAAGGCAGACTTCATAACTTCTCGTCTCTATCTGTACTATCTTGCTCGGCTTGGCGGCCTGAATAGTCAAGGACCATCGCCCGCTTTCTATAACGGCCTAGCTAAGCAGCCTCCCACTAAAGAAATGCTCGAGGACGACGGTTCCAACATCCGCGAGGCCATCATGGTCATTACTTCCCTTGGAGCTATCGCAGAAGCCGACTGGGGGTATACTTACGCTTTTGATCCGGATAATAACAAGCGGTTTGTAAAGCACTGTAATGCTAGCTATCCTCCAGGGAATGTTTCATTTGCAACTGCAAAGCAGCACTTTGCAGTCAAGTACGCTGTGGCAAACGTCAATGGCCCAAACTGCTGGAAGATGTGCATTCACATGGGGTATCCAATTATATTCGGTTTCAGAGTATACCCATCTCTGCGTAGCTTTATGCGAAAGGAGAACCTGACGACAAATGATGAGGCTGTCGCGCCAGTACCGGATACCTCGAAAGAAACGGCAGATGGAGGACATGCTGTGCTTGCCGTTGGATGGGACGATAACCTGAAAGGTGGATGCTTTCTTATTCAGAACTCATGGGGCAAGTCTATGACAAAAGATGGCTTTTTCTGGATGCCATATAAATGGTTAGATATTGGCATTATTGATGATGTTGGTGGATTTACTTTAATGGATACTTATGGCTCTTAGGTTAATATATAAAATGAGTAAGTATACTAAGTAAATAAATACACTTATCTTTTGTTGTTATATGACGAAGGCCCTTGGGCGAAACTTGTTGCGATGGTGTGTGTGTATAGGGTACATCGTGAATACGAACATGAGGTGGAAGTGAAAGACGGTATAGCCAACCAAAAAAAAGCGGGAAACGGCCTTTTGTCTTGCTAACGTATAACAAAGACTGAACGAGGGCGGGGAAGGACAAGAACGACAATATCTTGGCCCTAGGATTGGCTATAAGGGACTACGGTTTCTTCGTCCGCCGCGCTGCTCAAGAAGAGTGTGAATAGACACGGGCTCATGGGACCAAGTGGTAATTTTAGACCAGTAGAGGGCAAGAAACAACAAATAGTCTCAGCTAGGTACGGCACAAACACATAGGCATCTCGGCGGATCACCATATCAAGTCAAGCCGTGTCGCAAACAGGGAAATCGTTTCCCCGGACGCCGTCTCCGACCGGTTTTGTGGGGCCGAGCGGCTCGGCACGGAGGTTTATCCTCGTACCTATTTATCTCTACGGCTGCTTCGTTGTCACTTACAGAGCTGATACTCCTCACCCCTTCAGTTGGCACCTTGATCACTGCAAACTCTCTGGGTGACTGTGGTTCCATATCAATTTGTACGTTGGCCATCATTCGAGCCGAAGCGCTGGCACGTCGCGCGTCCCCGCGTCGCGTCTTCAGCTAGCGATGCTGCAATGTTCGACATAACATACGCGGCTGGGGCACAAGACCACAACCATCCGAATGAGTAGAGCACGCGCCAGACGACCATATCACGGCTCGAGAGCTTTCGACCTAATTCTTCGAATCGCGGCCGCGCCCAGACCCACGAGCGACGCCGTCCATTGTCACCCTCGATCCTAACGAATGCGCCGTCATTTTTTCCGCCCGCCGCTGTACAATATCTTGGTTCGACATTAGGAGCGACAATCCAGATATGACCTACGGCTGAAGGCATGTTCGAATCCCTATTTAGCCATTTCTCCGATAGACTCAAGGGCAATTGCAAGGCACAGTGCCCGACCGAACAAGATGAGGGCTCAGAACAGCGGATGTGCTGAGCCGGATTTAAAAGTGCTCTGGGCCTCTCGAAACGCTCTGCTTATAACTGAACCTCGTTTGTTTCTTACGGGCAGCCACAGTATTAGGCCTCCAAGGCGGGAGCGATCATGACAGCCTTGGCGGGGGAGAAGGGAGAAGGGCTGTGCAAGGTTTCAACGTGGAGCTGATGCCTCGAGCCCAACGTCGCTCACCATACGCCGTGTCACCTCAGTTTGATCAACCCCAGTCCTGACCCCCGTTTACATCCTACCAAACTCAAATCAAGCAGCAACCCCAATAACGCCCAAGTCGAATCGCGATCGAAAGGAACATGCAAGATAAATAGCAAGATCAGCAGCACTGAGCGATGGGACCCAATTTTGCTTAGTCCATCGATAAACACCTCTATCTACTCTACAAACTCTGGGTAGCTCGGCGTGCTGAGGTTTACGATACCCTGATCGACGTCGGGGATACATGTGCCGAAATGGTGTCTATCGATACGCACCCTCTCTCGGGGTACTTCCACTGGGTGGTGGTTTCAGATTGACTCTGGTTCGTCTGCATGCTATTGCTCACGAGCTCTTCATCAGTCTACTCCTAGACTTCAGCGAAAACCGTATCGGTTCCTGGGCATTAGGTGGCTACTCATTGCCTTGCTGTTCACCTCAACAGTCCTCTGCTCAACCTGCCTCACGGCGGTCCGGGCTTCACTGCAATTGGAGACTCTGTCTTGGGCCCCCATCTAACACTTCACGCCGTCACGAATCACCATGATCCTGTACTCATGTTAGCCTACTCATATGCGTCTGGACCGACATTCACACCTTTGCGCCTGTTCGTGGAGTGATTATGGCTTGTAAGGGCATGTCTGCATGAGGATGTTGTACAGCCCTGCGTTGGATCTTTTACTTTCCGCCCAGGCGTCCCACATTGTACGTGGTGGAGGGTAACAGACGCGGCGAAGGTCTTGTAAGTGACATTGAAGGAACTCAGCTCTGCAGAGATACCGCCGAGATACCTTGCTCACGGGCCAGGAAGAAGAGAAGACCGCTGGGTGATGCGCCATTGAACAAAGAGATCCATGAGCATGTCGACCGATGTCCGGGGGACAATGCCATGCCTGGCCACAACAGCGAAATGCCGTATCGCGAGATCGAGAGTGTCATTGCCGGCTCTAGCCTTCTCATCAGCCATCGTGAGATTCTCAGCATAGTGATCAGGGCCTGGGGTTGGAGCTGACCTGGCAGTCGATACTGATGACAATGCACTTTTGCCGGCTTCTGCAATAAGTCCCGTTATCGATGAGGTCTCAGTAAAGAACGCAGCCTAGGGATGCCACTCACGATCAAGCTCACCGTTACGTATATTGCTGGTAAGTGGAGGCTCCATGCTCCCGTTGGTCGTTGGATCCCAATTCGTTACTTCCTGAGGACCAATGCACCTCGCAGATTACCGCAGAAGCGATCAGCCGAGCCCTTACGGATGGCAATGTTGGTGGTGGACTCCGGCGATGGAGGAGACACCAAAGGATCTGAGATTGAATCTGGAGATGAGGAAGAGGTTGGCTTGCGCGTTGCATCTTCAGACCAACAACACAGCAAACCGTTCAGATGTCAGAAACTCATCTCCCCAGCCTCAATTACAACGCCGATGATCCATTGAGGTTCACACTGTTTTCGTCAATCGGATACCCGAGTCAGATCGTCTATCCCGGTTCCCGCTCCTTGTGAGATGTTGTGGTGACGAACCTGAAACTGTCACAGCAATCACCATCACACGAGTCAGTATGGGAGCAATCCGCCCGCATAATGCAGAAATATATTGATGTTCATGATACACGACATGTCCTTGACAAGGCAGCTAGCTAACGATACATGGCATGGGATATACGATAAACGTAGCAGTCCGCCGCTGTGCCTAAGACGTTTGATCCCGCGGGAACATGAAGATTGGGTGTTCAGGACAACACCAAGATGCCATCAGAGGCGCTCAGGTGAGTTCTTTACTATCTATCATATGTAAAGCACCGTGCAAATGCAATTCGATCAACTATTCTTCTGACTTGATATGTTTGGCGCATTCCCTTCTTGTAGACTACAATGGCCGCTCCTGATCAAGCATCTTCACCCATGTGAGCAACACAAAGTTTTCACCAACTGCCAGTCAGTGAATTAGAAGTTATCAAAGAACGTAGGATCTCGAATAATCGCAAAGGGCAACTGCAGAAAGCATTCTTTGACGTCCCTTGCAAATGCTACAGTACAAAGCCTTTCCATCACATCCACTTCTTCAAAGGCTTCATGGCACCAAGAGACATCGCATTCACCATCAAAATTCATAGATATAAAAGCTCTTCTTCCAGCTGGGGTTTGACTTGCAATTCATCACAACAGCGTATACAGTCCTCAATTCTATATCCTTATCCATCATACTTCAAAGCTGATATACACCTGGATCAACAATGACTTCTCTCATCGGTTCATCCAAGCGACATTACTTTCGTTTCTGGGATTATCTCTCTGAAGAGGTGAAAAAGAAAGGTGTACAAGACTCACCTACCATGATCGAGCCCAAGCCCGATCTCGACCAAACACCCCAAGACAGCGTCGCTGAGACTGATCGTTCGACCCCATCCGACCAGCCAGCGAAGCCTCAGGCCATTTCACCACAGCAGGAACTCAATGACGTCTCGCCGTGCGATTACCCTATCGTTGAGCAAATTTTACGACTTGGGGTTGAACGATTGACGCTGGGTCCTTCAACAGCTGAGAAGAGGGCTCGGCGAGGATGCGTTATTGATGATGCTCAACCTGCTGCCAAGCGTCGTAAGCTTTCCGACGGCCGTTCCTTTCATCTTTATTACAAGGGTCGTAGAGGTTGACGCTTTCAATAAGGAGCAGCTCGGGATGTGAGTGATGGGAGGAAAACGATTTGCAGGACGGTAGGTTAGAGGGAACTATGCGAGCTATCGAAGGCTTTACCTATGTTGATGGCGTTTTGGATGAACTTGGGATCTTGCTTGTTATGATAGAACATGAGGAAATTGCTATCTTGGGAAGGGACTTGCCCGTGGCCTCAAATTTTCACCGCATGACTTGTGCACTGGTCGTCGTTGCTTGGGGTCGGTGGATGATTTACGTGTTGATAAGAACGGATGCCAATAGTACGTCTTGGAGCGGATGTTATCACGTCAGTTCTTGACTGGATTTTCGGTTTGCAATGAGATTCAGAGTATCCTCTATGGTCAACAAATGTCCGTATGTGGCTGACGAAAGACCTCCCGGGCTATCAAACAGGCCTCGTGATGGGTTTTCCATAAAGAAAGTTCTCAAAACCGGCCGCTTGGTCACAAACGCCATGTATATATCATCAGGGCTATGAAGATGTCCATGAGTATGTTAAGTCTGATCTCATAATGGGGAGAGGAAAGGGCGGCATGCCAAATCCCGACTCGATGACAGAGGCTGTGAAAACGTGAGCTGTGCATCAATTGCTAAAGAGTGAGAGTAACATTTATTAACTCTCCCCCACGTATTATATTACAAATATATTATGGGCCCTGCAAGCAGTCTCGTCACGCTGGCTCATGACATGTGAGGTGGAATGTCTGATTTAGACATGGTGTATTGGACGCATTCGCATTGGCGGGGTTGAGAGGCCAAAGACTTACAAGATGAGGCAGTCCAACTTAGACAGATATTTTTTCCTGGTGAGACCATGCCAGTTAAGGTGAATTTTAGGAACTGGCATGTAAGGAATGAGCACAGCAAATTCTGCCGCAAGACATCGAACCGGATTGCCCATTTACAGCATGCAATCAAACGTCAGAGCAACCGCCCAAAAAATACGGGCCCAGCAAATGAAGGCCACTGAAATTGGAGGAGGGACGCCATGATAGTCCCCTCCGTGAGGTTTACCAGTAATCGTTAGGCAAGCAGAGAGAAGGATGAAGCAAGCCGGATAGGATCGGAGATGGAAACCTCGCCATTGACACTAGCCAACATGGCAGGGTTTGCAAGGGGATTGCCTGCACCACCGTATATGCTAACATTGAGAACAGTATAATCACCCGGAACTTGGGGATATTCGGGGATTACCAGTGCGTATCAAGAGATCACCACGCCGAGCCTCGCCGTCACTGTCCTCACGTAAATGTGATAAGAGTCTGGATTGTAAGGGTGGCCTGAACTCATGTTTCTTGACTCCAACACTTATGCCCCGCTCGAAAGCCTCGACAACCAGAGACCACAGACCTGAAGCGAATGGGACATAGAGAACCATAAATAAAGCTATTCCAAGGATACAGCCCCCCTGATGGCTTAGTTCAGAGGTACACACGTTGATCCGACCCATGGTATCGGCCATTTCGAACTTGGAGATATTGTTGCTCATCAGATGGCATCTAAAACAGGCCAATAGTAGAGAAGGCACATAACTACACCCTCCAGTTGCAAATCTATCGTCGGTTTAAAAAGCGATTGTAGCCCTCAGGGGCCTCGGTGACGAGCTCCAGAAGGCAAGGCTTGAATGACAGTATAAACTCTCTACTCTCATGGACATCGAAACAACGGATGATTTGCCCTAAGAATCTCGGGATCACTATCACTTGGCAGATACCAACACTGGCAGCCAGGAATAATCCTTAGTCCGGATCTCGAAGATGTGTCACGTGCCAGGCCATCACGAACTGTTTCGTAGCAACTTGCAGCCCGAAGCCTCGTGAGAATCCCTTCATACCAACACCACACCACAGCCTTGCCCTCTCACCGCCGACGCCAGGAATCACGCGCACATCAGAACGCAACTCCTTGACACTCAAGGATATCCCAACACTATGGCGCTCAAGGCTCAAGCCGAAAGCAACACTGCCACTCCTCAATCTGCGGATGAAGTCATCGCCACGGAAACTCAAGAGGCCGCCCCCCCGAAGTTCAGGTCGACCCTGACTCGCCACTAGGCGCGGCGTACATTCGGAGGCGACCTTTCGCCTGAGATGCGCGTAAGTTCGCGATCGCCGAGGTAGTGAATATGCGTGCTGACGTACCTAGGAACGACTCCAGGATCAGGAGAAAGAGTTTCAAACTTGGCGCCGCAGTGGAGCAGGCGGCACTGACGGAAGCTGGAACACGTGGGTTGCGCTGAAGAGATGTGAGAATCGCAACTGTGCGGCCAGAGGCTACCCCGAGGCAGGAGGTGCAACTGGAGGTGAAAAGCAAGTCAAGGGGGAGAAGTGATATCGACTGGAGGTTGCGGTCACGAAGACTCTGCGCGTGGTACAGACGATAGCATAATGATGCCTCCCTTGGGCACAGTATAGAAATGTCTAGTCACGAAAACCATGATGAACATGATTCCTTTCCTGTCGGACAGTCTTGTGTCTAATACTATGTCTCTTCAATTCTTATTGTCCACTACGGCGCAAGACCTATTCAGCCAAGAACAAGTAAGAACGAAGTCCGAGCCTCTCTGCCAATCGTCTGCCACACAGAGTGATGTTGCAGCTTCCCTCCACCGAGTTAACCCTTGCGAAATAAGAGCAAAGTAGTGGCACAGGCCTGCCCACTTCTGCTCATCACCTCTGCGAACTTCACAAAAGGGTTTATAGAAGTATATCACAATCTAGGTATATCAGTGAGCTAGCTAACATAAGGTTATACTGTATCCTTTTATACTGCAGTAGTTATTGTCAGGCCGCCATCAACCACCATTGTATGACCAGTTATGTATTTGGCAGCATTACTGCTAAGAAACGACACCGCGTTTGCCACGTCAAACGCGTCTCCCAACGCTCCAATCGGGATGTTACTGCTCATAATCTTGTGATACATATTCTTCTGCTCACTGTCCTCCGAATTCTCCCAAGACTGGATCAGCGGTGTTAACATGATTCCTGGCGCGACGCAGTTTAGTCTGATGCCTTTGGGTGCATATTCAGTAGCTGTAACCTGCGTGAAGTGCACGACCGCTGCCTTTGCCGCATTGTAAGCTATCTGGGGTTTTGAAAGGGATCGAAGACCGGCGATGGAGGCGTTATTGACAATGGAACCGGAGCCCTGGTTTTCCATGATAGGTAAGACGTGCTTACAGGCGAGAAAGACGCTCTTCAGATTCACGGCCATTTGGTCATCCCACGCCTCTTCAGACAACGTAGATGCATTTCCTGCAACCGGAAACCCGACGTTGTTAACGAGTATGTCGATTCGTCCGTGTTTTCTGAAGCAGGCATCGACTACGGCTTTGACATCTGAGGATGAAGTGACGTTTGCGGTCATGACATCGCAAGGTCCAGGGAGGCGTGATTGGGTGAGCTTGGCTGCTTCAAGGTTGAGATCGCATCCGAAAATAGTCACGCCGTTGAGGGAAAAGGCACAGGCGATGGCCGCGCCATTTCCCCAAAGTTCTGAGTCTTTTGATGCTGTCTGCGTCTGTCCGACGCCCATGATCAAAGCGACCTTGCCTGCGAGGTCAGGATGTGTCGAGCAGGATTCCATGTTTAACGATAACGGCAGCTGTTAATTGGATTAGGTAAAGTGATGAGTCTCTTGTGATCTGAATGGGAAGAAAAGAAGACAGAACCTTCTTAGAATTGAGCCTATTTATTCCACAAGAAGGCGCGTGAGATTACAAAGCATCGACGTCTGTCTGTGCCATTACCTCTTGGTAGCCTGACTGCATGAACGTGATCGAAGCAGGCAGATCAGTCAAGAAGCACAAACTGGGAAATGATATGCACTCTCAATCCAGCCTGCTCTATTGATCTCGATATGACGTAGCGTGTAATATGCTCCTAGAACTAACGCTATGGCTTTAGTTCAGACTGTCCGGAGTGCTTCGTCTTCCCCCGGCCTTTTAGATTCCAGAGATCTTCTCTAGAAAATCCCAGATCTAACAAGTGTCACAGGGCCAAGAAATACCGCTATGGCTTTAGTGTAGACTGTCCGGAGTGCTTGGTCTCTCCCCGGCCCTTGGTTTCCCAGAGAGTTTCCCTAGGACCATGGGGGACCCCAGAATACCCCAGACTCGATAAGCATCTTAGCGCATGGGGTAGGTAAAGTAGCGGGGGTGGACGCGGGGAACCTGGATAAATTGTGGAGTATTTAAACGCCTGCATCTCGCTTCTCGTTGTCGATCCCTTAGGACATCTCAGCGGACGTTTATCCAAGGCCCACTGCTCAGGCCTGCTCTTCCTGCAATCTTCGCCTTTTGCACTTATAGGCTTGTGGCCGAGAGCCTAAATCAACAGAGAGAACTTAGCACTTGTACGCCCTTTTGTAACAGCTTTTATTACCAGAAACACAATGAGCTCTCCAAAGCACTCCATCGATGTCGAGATGCTCGAGAGCCGCGATGAGCAAGGCGTTCTATCGCTGACTCCGGACGAGCTGACGATGGAAAAGAGGTTAGTAAAAATGCCATCTTTTTCAGCGCCAAGGGAATTCGACTTTGCTGACGGATAGATACTTTCTAGGATGGTTCGCAAAATTGACATGATCTTTCTTCCTGTCACAGCTCTGACGTATCTTCTCTGCTATTTGGATCGATCTAATATCGGTATTGAACCCCATTTCACCTCTTATACCCTTTGTGACATTCCCTCCAGTGCCTATCTCATATGTTTTGGTAGTTAGAACCAGCTGACGTCCAAAAAAAGGCAACGCTCGCATCCTCAACGCAGACACGGGAGACGACTTGATGCATTCGCTGCACCTGTCCAAGTACGAGTACACCATTGCTCTCATGTTGTTCCTTGTAGCATACTGCGTCTTCGAAACCCCGAGTAACCTAGCTCTCAAAATACTCACCCCGAATCGGTACGAACCCCTCCTCCTCACCCCCTCAAAAACCCCCGACTGACGTGCATGTCTAGGTGGCTCGGATTCCTCATCTTCGTCTTCGGATCGATCTGCGCAGGTATCGGTGGAATCCATAACTTCGCCGGGATCAGTGCAATGCGATTCTTCCTGGGCGCTGCTGAGGCAGGCGTATTCCCCGGAATGATATACTACTTCAGCTTTTGGTACAAGCCAGAGGAGCGGGCTTTGCGCATTGCTACGTTTCTCAGTAGCGCCTCCTTAGCTGGAGCATTTGGAGGGTACGTGTTAAGATATTTTCATCTTACTTATTTCGTTAGTAATGCTGACTCTGGAAAAACAGATGCATCGCCTACGGTGTCGGACACATGAACATGGTGGGAGGCCTGGAGGCTTGGCGCTGGCTGTTTATCATCGAGGGAATTCCATCCGGTATGTGAAGAGCAGACTACTGGAGTGATTTCATTGTATTACCTTTGAAAACGCCTGACCGTATCCGCTAACAGATGTGGTTAACAGTGATTCTTGGTGTCTTGGTCTTTTTCTTTCTGCCCAGCTACCCAGAGAACTGCAACTTCCTGACCACCGACGAAAAGCGCCTCCAGGCTAGAAGACTTGGTGAGCTGGCTAGCAGGTAGGTCAATGTCCTGTCTCCGGCTTGTTCTCTGGTGAGATACAGCGCTAACTATATTCTTCGCCCAGTAAACAAAAGATTACTTGGCTCGATGCTAAAGCGACCCTCTGCGACTACAGGCTGTATGCTCACTATTTGGCCTATACCGGTATTGGCTGCCTCATCAGCTCCCTGTCGCTTTTCGCGCCAACTATTGTTGAGGGTCTTGGTTTTGTAGGACTTCGCGCGCAGCTGTTCACCGTGCCTCCATATGCACTCGCCTTCATCTGCTCCATCCTCGCTGCATTCGTCTCTGACCATTTCAGAGTTCGCGGCCCTGTAACCTTTGCTGCTCTTTCAACTTGTTGCGTTTCCTTTGTTATCTTGGGTTAGTAGTCCCCTCCATTCATCTGATCGGCTGACTAAAGCTAACTGGCCATGTTTCAGCTGCCCTTCCAGGCGAGCACTTTACGGCTCGTTACGTTCTCTTGGTTATCAGTACGTGTGGCGCGTTCGCTGGTCTTCCAAGCATGAACGCGTGGATCGGAGACAACGTGAGCAATACCACGGCAATGTCTATCGCCGTTGGACTGAATGTCGCTTTCTCTGGGCCAGGCCAGATCATCGGAGTATGGATCTACCGTGCTCAAGATAAGCCTTTTTACAGGCTTGGTCACGGAATCAATGGTGGATTCTCCGCCATGTCGGCATGCATTGCATTGGCGCTCTGCTACTACTATCACCGTAAGAATGTCAAGGGTGACAAGGTTAACGGTCGGAGCTGGATTATTTAGTCATGTTCTATCACTCCGGACGGAATGTTTTTTCTATGCATCTGGGGTACATGTACAGGGTACTTGGTATGTAAGAAGTGGGTCTTCTATAGTTCCATTAGCTATATTAGTTATCAGGCTTGGTCGAAACTTTAGGAGCGGGGGAAGGGGGCGTGCAGAATGGAACTCGCCGCGAGTACATTATCCATAGCCAATAGATGTGATTGATTGGACACGAGATTTAAAACAGAAACACAGTCGTGCTATGATAGGATCGTTGTCTTCCGTCCGGCAGAAGTTTAAAGCGGCAGTGTCGAGACCATCAGCGTTAAGGAGCTGGGAGGCGAGCCCATGACCTCCCTGTGTCACCCTTGAACCAATACCTCTGCTACTCGCCGTAGCTTTGCATCACCTCCCCCAAACAGCACTCGAGTCCGAGCTAAGCTCCACGCCATCAGACCAGGTTTTCGTCATCACCACTGCCATCGCCCTGCTCCTGAATTCCCAGCTGCATCGATATAATGCAAGCACCATTCTAACGCTAATACGGTCAGCTGAAATGACAATCATGTCGACTGATGGCTACAAGTTCCTCGATACTGCTCTTCCCCAAACCCAAACTAATATCACATGCACCTTTAGCTCACTTCCCTCCCCCATCACTTCGAACGCTAAGACGCACTTCAATAATCAGGCCTCCCACACACTCAAAGCGATCTACTCCTCCAACTCATGATTCCCCGACACCATCCGCCCCAGCCCTATGGTACACGCTCCCGTCACGGCTGCAGCAGGTGCAGGACTGGGTCACCACGCATAAGATTCTGACGGGTTTAGTGGCCGTGGTTTTGGTCGCGAGTACGGTGAATTATAAGAGCGTGGAGAGGGCGAGGTTAAGAAGGAAGATGAAGAGGACGAAGTACAGGAACAGTCCTAGGGAGGAGTTGCTCGGTTGCCGTTTCTACCGCTGGCCAAGTTCTTGGCCTTGCATATAGCGAGCAAGGGTTCATCGTCTATTATTGTTTTCTCCCTCGAAGGCTTATATATCTAAGTCTGCTGCATAAACATGACGCGCCATTGCACGCATAGATGCCTCAAAAGCCACGATAGACATGGCATTAGCAGGAAATGCCCTCAATATACATGGGAGAAACCCTCTCCAAAAACCTTTCCATCCAGCTTCTCTGTAAATTGTCCTAGCAGTATCCATCCAACTCCACCTTGGACCGTTAAGAGGCGAGGTCATGATGCGCTGCTTGATAACATCCGTGGGATACCCCGTTAGCCAATACATCTGCGCGGCAAAGCCAGCCGCAAGGAAGTTTATTAAAGGAGTGCTGAAGTTGGTGCGTTGCTGCATTTGACGACTGAGCACGTCGTAACTTGACCAGAAGACGGCGAAGAAACTCCTAAAGACGATGGTGGAGAAAAAGCCTCTGTATACGCCAGCCACGCCATAAGAGGCGAAAATCTTTTGAAGGCAGTCAAATGGCCCTGAATATAACCTTTGGGCTCCCGTCGTTGTGTATTGTATTTGCAGTCGTGCTTTGATGTGCTCAATGGGTGCTGCGATGAGACTGACTGTCCATCCTGCCAAGCCTCCTGATACCCCGTGTATCAGACACGATCTTGTTGATTCGTTCAAATAAGGGAGTTTTGCAGGCGATGAAGTTTCTGGACATGTCCTCCTGAAGTAATCACGGTAGATAGAGAATGAACCGAGCAATATGGAGTCCATGAACACAAACCCGATCAGTGGCGGCGTGAAGCCCTTATATAAGCCTCGTATTCCTTCTTGGCTGATGGTCTCATGAAGGCAATGCCATGGCCCGCGAAAGCGCGATGTACTCGATGTTTGCAGTCGGACTTTGATGGTATCGAAAGGATGTCCCGCTGCAGAATATAGGTTAGTGGTGCTAGCCAAGGGGTGCAATAGCCGGATATCTTACTTACTGGACACTTTAGCAACACCGCTGAAAGCGCCGGCAACGAAGCCTTGAGCACCTCCCTGGTTCTCCATGATAATACTCAGAACGCCTTAGGTATATGGTTCAGACGTAAGTTGCACCTGAGGAAGAAAGAAAAATGCATTTGTCGTTTTTCCAATAAGTGGAATCCATTGCAGGCGTTTCCTCTTAACACGTTCTGTTTCCTTGCGATTCTTGGACATCTAGGCAGGGTAAGTGAGGACCAATGCTGAGGTAGCCATCCCCGAATGTTTCGCCCAGGACCGGAGCAATGTTAGTCTCCCCGGAATGGTGGCAGTCGTAAGTGGGCAATCGTGGATGTCATTGGACACGATAGTTTTTCGTGTTATCCGACGGACTTAAACTTTCGTAGAAAGCGATCATGGCCTACAGTGACTGAACGCGGGGAACCCAGTATGGACGCAGAGTCTAGACTATTTCCCAACGACTACTCATCACCATCAACTGCCTAACTACGCTTGTGCTGGTCAGTCGCAGCAATATACCCCAATGGCCCAGTCTTACCCATGTCTGATCTTAACGCATCCTCGCCCAAGAAGTCCCGTAGCTTCGTAGTCAGGCAGGCTTGCGATGGGTACCGCCCTGAAGGAGGGCACCTCCTTGCAGCTGCATATCACTAGCGGCAGAAGACACCAGGATCTTTGGCAGATACTACAATACTCGATAATCCTCATGTTAGTATAGGTAGGTAGTCGAACACCTCGGGATGAAATTGCGCGGCTGACGACGAAACCCAGTTACCTGTTGCTTGGAGCTTTTAGCCCCGCGATCCAAGTTCTACCCCGCAAATAAGCACCGGCACCCCGGATACCGGCCCCACGGGGAATCTAGACGACTTCCGAAAGAGTCGAGCTAGGGACAGCGCTAGACTCTGCAGCTGCAATTCAATCTGGGGAAGATTGACCCAAGAGATAGACGTCAGTAAGTACGAAGTGCATAAATGGGGTTGTCGGCAGCTTGCTTTGCTTGGTACCCCAAGCCTTCGCAGCTCAAGTTACATTGCATCTACCACCAGCCACCATGAAGATCTTCTTGCTTACCAGTCTTTGGGCAGCTGCCATGGCCGCCTCGACCGCTGGAAACCCTTATGAACTGGGTCCAGTGCCTCACTTGAAGATAGGCAACGTCACCACCCAGGACGGCGTCGAACTGCGGTATATCCAGGCAGGCCCACCTTCTGGCCAGCAGCTGCTCTTCATCCCTGGGTGGCGACAGACCGCTGCGCAGTGGAACAAACAGATTGAATACTTCTCTTCGGCGGGCTATCGCGTAACAACCTACGACATGCGCGGCCACGGCGACTCGGCCAAGCCAGACTTTGGATATCGTCTCAGTCGCTTTGGCGCAGACCTCAACGATGTCATAAACTCTCTGAGCCTCTGCGGCGTCAGTATCGTCGCGCACTCTATGGGCTCGTCCGTTACTTGGGCCTTCTGGGACCAGTATCCTGCTCAGCGCAGGCGAGTTTCCCGCTTTGTCATCGACGACCAATCTTCAGTGTTGGTGCAGGACCCTACTTGGACGCAGGCGCAAAGGAATACCTGGTCAGCAGCCTTATTCTCGCCTGCACAAGTGTATACATTCTCGGCAAATCTTACAAATGAATTGGTACCTTTCATAAAGAGCATGTTTACATCCTCCATTTCCCAGTCCGATTTGGACTGGATGATTAAGCAGAATAGGAAGATGAGCGACGCCCATGCCGCCACCCTCTTGATCAACCACGCCTTTATGGATTGGCGAGATGTCCTACCGAGGATTGATATTCCTACGTTGATTCTTGCAGGTGACGCAAGTCTCAACAACGCGACAGGCATCACGTGGGCTGCGTCGCAGATCCCGGGGGCTCAGAAGTATATCTTTACTAAGGCCGAAAAGGGAAGTCATTTTGCGTTCTGGGAGAATCCAGAACTGTTTAATCAGGTCGTGGAGAGGTTTGTAACGTCCTGATCTTGACTGTAGTCAAACGATACTCGTAGCTAGGGGACGGCAACCTCTAGAATGCCATTTTCACATATTAACTCAATTCGGAACTGGCTTGTGCGTCATAAAATATTGTCCTTCAACTATACTTGATTTTTCTCGGAATGTGTGAACTACTTTCCCTCAATGTGCGTACTTTAATCAAGGAATCTTACTCAATGACTATCTCATTCTGCAAATACACACAATGTTTTCCATCCGCATTCTAAAGTCAAGATTCAATAGCGTAAATCAAGGCTCCTAAATCGTAACTAACTGATACTGTTGTTTATGTTCGCTTGAGCATGGTTGAGTGTGCTTGCTTCTATCTCTCTGATGGTATTGATAAATGCCGCGTGATGATCGGGGCAGTACTAGGCTCCCCTCCAGAGTTCAACGAGCCGTCTGGAAGGGAGAAACTTTACATAGCTTCGTGCATCTGTAGTACCCGCTGACCTAGAAGCGCCTCAACCTGTACCATCCTGCACACAAGAAGCACCGAAAAGTCTAGAAAATATTCCAAAGCCATCTTTCGGCAGCCGAAATGGCTTGACCTAACGTTAGAAAGGTGGTTGTTGGCTCTCCACTATGAGGTTGATCGATTGCAAACTTGCGGGGTAGGACAACGTTTGCGGGGTATTGAAGTACTGTGCGCTCTTGAAGAAGGCACATCGTAGCCATGACCAACCCTCTCTAGCCTCTTACTAATTGATGATCCTTACCATCCTTACGTTACATTTGCCAGATCCACTACAAGATGCTTCCCCCTCTTCTTCCCGGAGTGCTATTAGTCTCCCCACGGCGATTCTATAGCTTCCCAGTCACCTGATTAAAGATCCCCTTCTCCTTGTTCCAATCAATTATTCCAGGGCACGAAGAAATATACCGGATAGCGCGCATTTAACTTCACACATCTTTCAGATTCGTAAGGCGGCCCTGGTTGAAAAGCCTCCATCTCAGGTCAACACACCATGATGTCAGTAGAAAACAAGACAGTTATCATCACTGGAGGAGCCAGAGGTATTGGGGCTGCGACATCACGACTCTACAATGCTCATGGAGCTCAAGTGGTAATCGCCGACTTAGCCAGCGCCCATGATACAGCCAACGAACTCATACACTCCTGTCGCCATCCTTCTCACGCCGTTTTCATCGCAGTAGATATTGCCAACTGGGACGACATGACATCGTTGTTTCGGAAGGCGACTGAGCGTTTTGGACGAGTCAACATTGTAGTGGCTAATGCTGGGATTATGGAGCGGAAGGATACATTTGCACTTGATGAGGTTGACGAATATGGTGAACTGATAGAGTCGAAGGAAGCCTTCAGAGTAATCGACATCAACCTGAAAGGGACACTAAACAGTAAGACTCTACATATATTTCTCTCAAATTTGGCAATGCTGACATAATCTAGCTCTAAGGTTAGCCATGCACTACATGAGCAAGCCCAGAGTAGACGGCGACGCTGGCTCAATTGTGCTCATCGCCTCGACTTCTGGATACTTCGGGGGCACCGGCGTGGGTGCTTACGTCGCTTCCAAACATGGTGTCATAGGTCTCCTCCGCGCATGCCAGGGGGTTGCAATACGTCGAGGGATCAGAGTCAACGCCGTGGCCCCGTTCTTCACTCCGACACAGATCACTGCCGGCTATGCACAGCAGTGGAAGGATTCTGGGTTGGAGGCAAACACCCCTGAGACTGTTGCGGAGGAGATTTATCGGGTGTCTGTGGAACCCACTCTGACGGGAGAGTGTTCAATGGTAAGCTTATTATTCCTTTTCTTCTTTTGCCTTACTTATGGTCTGTATAGGTCGCAGGCAGATTTGTTCACCCTGTAGAGTCGGCAAGAACAGCCCTCATCCCGGCTTTTGTAGGCCAGGATATCGCAAACTTGATGGCAGAGTCGAAGGAATTCTTTGATTCAATTGGCGGTTACAAGTTACCCGAACTGAAACAAGGTCCCTAGAGTAATAGAAGTTATAGCTACATAGTAAATTACTCTTTGTATGCCAATGTATATATTTGGCGGTGCATCTGATAATAACCAATGGAGAGTCACAACGCCTCCCAGTCAAGCGCTCTGAGGCTATTTGCAGAGACTACGAGCCGTAGTGGGATCTCACTCACCCGACCTTCAAATAGGCAAAGTTCAGCACAGTCAAGCACAGCTCAACTGCTCGCGCGCTTCGTTGTGAGCTCAAAACATGCATACAGGTGACGGCCAAAATGGTATTACCATGACATAGTTGTTAGCTACAAGTCTCGGGGTCCTAAAACACATGCAGCTTCATTCAAGAGACCGAATCCAAGCGCGAGGAGTCCAAGGATAACGCCGCTTTGATGACGCGAGCATCATTGTCGATAACCTCGCTCAATGTCTCATCAAACCCAAAGCTGAAACATTTCTCAACACTGCCTTTCAATAAGAAACATCCCTTTGGCGATTTTAGGCGATTTCTCTGCCCTTTCAGAACCATTATCGGCATTGACATCATCAAGTTCTCCCAGAGGGGCAGTAGCCTTATAAGTGGTCACCAGTACCGTTACTTCCAACGAGGAGAATAAAAAGGTACACGCTATAGCGCTTGTGTGATGAGATACCTTCGAAATGGTGTGACCTTCAACTCCGGCTGCTATCTTCATCTACATGCGTCAACGGATCTCTGGATCTGTCACCAAGAAAAGTGAGGAAAGGCTTCAGAGATTTGCAGTACCTGTCTTGCATCGGCAAAGCGTTTGAAAAGCTCCAACAGACACAAAAGCAACGTGTGACGCCAGAGCTCTCTGTAACGAGGCAAAGAGCTAAGCTAGAGGAGGCAGAAAGATATCCATTGAATGCTACAAGCATTGCAAATATAGCATTGAATGTTCCGCCGACACGTTTGGTGCGAAAGGCGCAATGGGTATGAGTACCGCGACAGCTTCAAACAGAACACAAGGTGACTCATGCCACAGGCTTACTCGTGCTAGTGTGGTCGCGCATACGCAGCCATACCAGAATACAGTATCTAAGTGTACTTAAAAACTCGCAAATAGATCCCAAAGCTGCATTCACGATCCCGTTCTTTCCTTACTTTTCATAGTCCAATGCGACGTTTCTGAAAGGGCCTACTGATGTTGACGCTCAGAATTGCCACCCTTCGCGAAATCCAACGACATCTTTGTCACGCCTACATCAAAGACAAGGATGCCGCGATTGACGTCATTGAAGCTGTCGCGATGCAAGTCTCATCATTCACAGGACATTTCAAAGAACCACGTGCATCAGAGGTCTCGTCCTGCCACCAGCAAAGAAGCATATAACTGTTATCTTTTCATGCTCGTGTCACCGAACCTCCTGGTCTCCTCTTCGCTGCTGTTTGCCGCCTTTGCAATCCAATTCCGTTTTGACTGTGCTGGTGCATAAATGGATCGATAGCAAGCAGCATATGCAGCTCTTTGAAACTGAACAAAGGTTGACAGCGCAGCGGTGAATTGTTCTTGGTGATTACCTCAGACGCAGCAGAACTCCTTTGAACAAGCTGCAGCTTGCATATCCGCCCACAAAAGACCCTGCAGTAGCTCATCACAAGCTGCATATCTCTTTGAACATGTTCCAAACTTTGACGATGATATTTGAGTAGCCGGTATGATGGAATGAACTATGGAGACGTATAAAACGTCTTGTTTCTCCCAGACCAGAACCATCTTCTTCTCACCAGCCCTTCTTCCGCATCTTCTTGAAGTTTACCTTTACACAATCGTTTTCATCATTCTTACGAGTATCTGTATTCTCCCACCACTTCATTCCACACCCAGACTCCACAATGGCTATTCTTCCTGCAGTCCCGGCCTTCTCCACTGCCGTCATCGTCAATGGCGAGCCAGCGGATGAATACCAACCCCCTTGCCCAATCCCCTACGACGCTGAGTTTGAAGGTGTGCCTCGCATTCGCTGCTTCATCCCGGCAGAGACTGGGAACACCTACTCTGTCCGCTTTAGATTATCTCCGCGTTTCGACTTTGGCAACAAAACAGACACCCTTTTGGTCGCCATCTACATCGACGGGGCCCTCGTTGAAGAGACAATTGTTTACAAAGAATTGCTTCGTGAGCAAGATTTCATCGATCACATTAAGTATCGCCATCAGCACCACTCTGATGGGTCTCGCACCTACCACGAGTTCTGGTTTCGGGACCTCGCTCCTGGTTAGTATCCCTAATGTCTTGACAAAATCAGAACTGACATTGCTGTAGCTGAATGTACTTCTGCCGCGACCCTCAATGCTGATATGCAGCTTGTGAAGACTCTGGGCACAATTCGAGTCGTCCTCAAGCTTGCAAAGAACTTCGGAAAAGATCCTTCAGCGGACCATTGTCTCGGAGAAGAGATCAGTCGTTCTTTGGAGCCATCGTGTAAGGCACTGGCCCTTAATGGGCATGGGCAAACTCATGGTACCGAGTAAGTGCGAATCGAACTCGGGGAGGCCATGACTAACATTACAATAGCTATATGGAAGTCGATGTCGACGTTCCCATTGCGTACTACGTTATTGATACCAGAGAAACCATTGGATGCTTCGATTTCGTTTATCTCTCGCCGGGTATATCACTCCCCTTGTTGAGATGAATCACGCTGACCTTCTAGATACCCTCAAGGCACAGGGTATTATGGACCTGAAGTTCATCAACCAGGTAGCGCAGGGAGTGCCTCAGACGTTTGAACCTGCTCCAAAACCCCCTCGATTTCCTGCTCGGACCCTGTCGAATGGATGTCTTGAGATTGATCTTACTGGTGATGATGAGTGAGCGTTGTTGGCTGGAATTGAGTTGACGATTTTAGAAAAATTATGGTGGTGGTTAGATGATTTGCTTTTGGGAATGTCTGATGTTCTATAGAATGGATCTGAGATAATAGACTGGCGTTTTTGCTTTAGAGATCAATGGGGGAGTACTTCAGACCTTCAATCGATGCTACTTGATCACCTCGTACACAATTGTTGTGTTTGTTTTAGAAACTTGTCTATTTGCTTGATGAAGGATATTTCTACGCGTGCTTCTTTGTCTCAGAGTTCTTGGCATATTGCAACGTTTCGTCAAGTAATATCCAGGCGATATTGAAGTGTCTGTATCCATTTGCTGCAAGCGCGAAGAATTTCAATAAGGAGCTTCTATCTGAGTTCTGTATACCAAAAGACTTGCAATTCGGAGAGCTCTTCGACACATGTCATCGTGGCGCAACCCACGATTGAACGGATGTCAAGATCATTATTAGAAGCCGACAACTCTCGAATAACTCGGAGAAACACATTAGGATTTTGGTCCTACTCCAAAATAGTCCCAATCTTTAGCTTTATGAGCTATACCAAGCATTAGATATTGCAACAGTCAGCAATTACATCGATATATAGATAAGAGAGCAGATCCTCAACACCTTTCTTCAATCAGTTCTAGAACGGCGAATGGAAAGTTTGATAGTAGTCTGCGTGATCTTAATTGTACCCGTCGTCAGAACTGGATTTATGGTCCTCTTGAGGACGGAGATAGTTGCGGGGATCAGATCAATTCAAAATATTTTTTCGAAAGGTCAAGACTTGTGTCTAAATGTACAAATCTGCATGTACAAAACCTTGGGCTATTTCAAATGCGGCAATACCAGCACTTGCAGTTTGGCAATGTCTAACTGAGAACCCACTGGAGTGCGACTTTAAAACTGCTTGTCTTACAAGTTGCTATCTATTGAGTAAAATGGTCTAGAAAAACATACAGCTTTCTGTACTGTAACTCCCTTGTTTCAGGAACATAATACTAGTTAGCCATGATGCTCTGACCACCGTCTGCGGTAATCCTCTTTCTGATGCGTACTTTCATTGTACTGCTCCCAAGGTGGATCAACGATGGTTTAGAATTGGACGCTCCAGCAGCGTCAATATCGATCAGCGCATTCGGGCAGAACAGGAGTGCTTCGCCAGGTTCCAGACCGACGATGTGAGGGAACAGATCCTCATCCTTGATGTTCAAGTGCGATAAAGAACCTAGCCCGTCATTTTCCTTCTTAGTGTTTGTGCCGTTTACCATATCTCGACCACTTATTTTCATTTCAGCGTCGGAGACTAAATAGACACCTGCCAAGTGTCGCCTTAGAGTGGCGAACCATGTTGGTGAAGTGAAGCGATGGACAATGACAGTAGAACATAAATCAAGGAGCTTGGGAGATATAGTGGGTTCTTGAGTGGAAAGAATAACTCTGGTACCCAAATGACGCTGTAGACGGATGACGGAAAGCAGGGACTCTGTCAGTGTTTGGCTGTCAGAACTGTCTTTCATGTACTTGTGTGCTTCATCCAAAGCAACGATGCGTCCAATGGTCGGTTCTCGTTCCAGAAACAAACTAAGACAAATGTTAAAGAGCGAACATGCCGTCTCAGCCGTGACACAAGGACAAGACAGATCGACAATCGTGAGTTCTCCAGCCTAGGTTTCTATCATTAGTGACATCCTCAGTCACAGCATAAGAGAAGCTTACAAGCAAGTCCCATTCCACACCCTGAGCAGAAGTGTTCGCCTTCTCCTTCGGCTTCACTTTCGATCTGGAAGCGGAACCACCCACAAAAGTTTGTTCTGTGACCATGAAACTTTCCAAGGTCTCTAGACGTTGTTGCAATGGCTGCAGCTGCCCTTCTGTTAAGGACTCTTTACTGATAGCTGTCTTGAAAGCTTTATAGTCGAAAGCTGAGTTGGTCTGTTGCTGCGCGATACGCATATCGCGTAGGATACGACTAACAACGTGAAGATACAGCGGTATTCCACTACCCTGAATTGAGCTGACAGCCATCAAATCTAGCATCCTTCTTGTGTTCAGGTCTGATTGGCTAATCCGCAGCTCCTTTACTACCACCTTGGGGAGGTGCTGATAGATGCGCTTTGTGGGTCAGCCACGAGCCTTTTGCGAATATGAAAAAAGGGTTCACCTTTATGTGAAGAAAGTTGGACGGGGCACATAGTACTCTGACCTTCACGTCCGTATTGCTGGCTATATACGCTGCTTCGCAGGGCATTCCGCCTGTATCCGAGACGAACGTATCATAGTGAAACACAAGGCCCGCCAAGGGATGGGGAAGTTGATTTGCCTTGGACGAAATTAGGCAATTCTCCAGAATAGTACTCAGTGTATGGCTTTTCCCTGATCCTTGGCTCCCGCAGATAAATGTACTGGCAGGTGCGGCCACGTTGTAGAATAGCCGAGATCTGAGTTGTTCAACACTGCTAGTTGACAGGGAAGAGGACCCTCCCAATCTTGAAATGTTGGAAGCTAGAAGTCCGTATTGAGCTGGCCGCTCTACATTGGGAAGCCTCGCCTCAATGTTGTGCGTGAATAGCGGAACAGACTTCATTGTGCTTGTCATCTCAACCTCATGATCGAGCAACTCCAAATGAGGGTGTGGAGGCTGGGAAACGTCAGGCTCAGCGGAGGGACCCATGATTGAGTGATGCAGTAGTAACTTGGTGGAATTAGTGAAAGAGTTAGCATTGTGTGAGTAAAAAGGCCACCACTTGTTGTGCAGCGGCCGTTCTTGTAGCTTTGTGGGAGCCTCAAACTTGGTCGGCCTCCTGCAGCCCTTGGTTCAGCCACCTACGCATTTGCCCTTGCTAAGGATCAAATCATAAAGCTCACATTTCTCAACCCAAGACAGTCGATAATCCAAAAGGGCGGTGTAGGTTATTTCATTGCTGGCCGAATATATTATCCCAGTGAGTTTCATGTTATGACAGCCTCGACATCAAGGTTAGATTCGAAGTCATACGATTGCGATTGCCCCACGTGCCGTATGTGACGTCGTCGGCAAGCTCTAGATCGCATTGAGCCCATGTCTAGGGCGTTTAACCCTGGAGAAGCTAGGTCGTGTGTCTGTAAAATCACCTTCCGTAGTTCAAGCAAGATAAACCCACAGCTATGCTCAAGCTCTTCCTGAATGTATATGTCAGGTCTTGGCTTGTGAGCGGTGTGGTGCGAGCATCATCAGCAGGCTGTCTGTTATTCTATGGACTGCTAATTACTGATAGGGCCCTGGACGGAAGGGAATAAAAGCTCAGAAGTCGCAATGATTAAACTTAGCTTCGCCGCTTCCATCTTCAGCAATATCCTTCAGCTGAACCCAGGGGCCCCCTCAAAAACCCATCGTATTCTTTGAATTTGCCGAGATAGCACTTACCACAGTGTCCTTCCTACCATTATATATCACAAATATGAGAATATCAAGGCAATCTCGAGAGGATACACCTTCAGCATCTTCCAACAATGGCATATATTATGTTGCGGGACACAATCTTCAGACCTCGAGGATGAATGCGGTTCAGAGGAGTAAGCTGTTTTATGTCTTTTGTGCACCTCATAATCACCAACATAGCCGTAAGTAGAGTCTAAAAGATACAGCCTTGCGAATACTCTTCCAATGAAACATCATGAACAGCATGGCATATACGTCAAATTTCATACAAAACAGATTTCCAAACGCAAGAGACGGCATTAAGCAGCTAATGTAAGGTCCGGATCTCAACCCAGAGAATCGGAACTCCGTTTAGCTCTACGCCGTCTGGTAACTAATCCCTGCTGCCCGGCTTGGTGCGTCAAACCCGCTGTATATCATCAGCTACATGAACATTTTACGGCCGTGTCATACTATAACTGGCGCTGAAGATTGTGGCGAAACAGTCATGATTTGAGTCTTGCCGATCACGTCATATCCTCACGTCAGAAGAAGGACACCAGCTTTACGTCAAGATCATCTAGTTGTGATTTTTTTGACAGGCTATTTCATAGTCTAGCTGTAGTGGCTCTAAAGAATAATAAAAGTCGCAAGATTGGAAGGTCGCTGTTGGCCGAGAATGAGGTACAAGTGGCATTTGGAAATATGCTTTGCAAATGACTCTATCTCAATCAAGCAAAAACAGAAGTGCGCTAAGTTGAGTTTGAAGGACTTATATATCTATGAGTTCTGAGGATGCTTGATCTGCCTTGCTGCTTCCCAAATCCCGAATCGCGAGAGGTTGAGCTCAAAATTCTTGAATTCCGAATCGCAAAGTTGATACTTCTGTGGGCTTAGTTGTATAAAACCTACATCTCTATTAAATTACGGCCCCGGATCTAAAGACATTCTCTCCGTACGTACCTCATGACTAGTGCCGTGCTTGCTTCATCATCAGTAATGGCCATGGATCTCAGATGTGATGATAAAATGCCTTGGATAAAGCAACGATTTCTGAAGCCCTATGATGGTGATTCCAATGTGGCGCTTACTATGCGCAATTCACGCCGACCTTAGTCGAAACTATCTTTATGGTCTTTTTCTAACCTTCTCTTAATGAACTTAGCTGGCGTGTTTCCGAATGATCAGCATCACGGTGCAAGCGGAAAGATTTCCACTTACCTTCTCCTTTAAATGAAAGTGGTGAGAGCCACATCTTAGGTTCTCCACTCTTTGAAAACCCAAAAGCAGCCCCTCGTCTCCGTTCATCTCAAGTCCGGGACTCGGAACCCAGAGATATACTCCTCCTCTAGAGAGCTTGTATCCCATGTACAAGCACACCATTTCCGCGCCTCAACAGCGTTTGTATATATATATATCCTGAAATTGTCGCGACATATCCGGCCCTTGCAGCTCCGCCTTTTAGTGACTCAGTTTCAGAGCTCAGGTCCAGTAATTCACCGGGACCTTTCTTCCAGTATCACCTCCACTAAGAAGGCCGGCATTGAATCATCAGTGCTGGAGATCAGCTGTCTGAACTCTGTCTCTGGCATCCCCTCATGTCTACCGCTGGCCCATAATACAAGGGTTCATAAGATATGTACGCGAGGTACCTAACTGCAATATAGTTGCCAGGACAAAAGAGACATTCTGTGCCGATCTGACGCAATGTGCTGGGCAAAGAGGTGACGATAGAGTCATGATTGCGATGATGTAGGCAGATGGTTGAGTCTAAGATTGTGTCTGTTAGGCCTTTGACTTACCTAAATAATAGAGCTTTTTCGAAAGCTTCTATAACCAATATCGCGCATAAGAGCATGATAGGTTTCCTGGCTGAAGACTAACTCGAATCCTAGTCGTCGTCGCGATCCACGATACCTACCGCCGAATAAATCACCTTCCGATCCGAAACTCACAGTCATGCCTCTGCGGAAAAAGCTCAAAGCTCGCTCCGTGTCTCCGAGCAAACGATCAGCATCTGGGTCGGCTTCACCCACAAAAGAAGTCGATGACGATTTCGAGACCGTGGTTACACCGGCGAGCCTGGAAATCGACCTCGATGAGGCTAGAAAGGTCACCAACGATTTCAGGTCTTCTTGCCTCAACAGAGCAACACCATGTGCTGTTTCGGGTGAAGGAGAGTCGTGGTGTCCAGGTCCTCCCATTGGTCCCGGCATCCAGGCTTGCCATATCGTCCCCCAGCACCATTATCATGTGTATCCCGTCGCTGGCGCTGACGCAGATGACGATGTACCTTTTGAAGCGAGTAATCGCAGGCTGAAAGAAGCATGGCAAAGCACATGGAGCCCGAGGAACGGCATCCTACTCATGAAACACCTTCATGACTTTTTCGACGCACGCCTCTTCTCCATACATCCTCGGACACTCCGCATCCGAGTTTTTGTCCCATATAATGCTCTGACGAGATTCAACGGCCAAAGAGCCTCAGTACCTAATACCATCGATCGAAAAGCCCTACGCCATCACTACGAAATGTCATGCATTGAAAACATGGCCGCTGAACGACCAATTCTAGAGATAATCTCGCCTACTGCAAGTAGGATGACTTCAGGCCTGGCGACGCCGCTTACCGCGAAAACTGATTTGCCCGCAACACCGACCTCCGGAGATCCGGGCAATGCGAGGGCAGGCGACCCGACTAAGAAATCGAGACCAAACTATCCAGAACAAAACCAACAAAGAGATATTTTGACGCCCGGTGACTCGCTAAATACACTTGATATAGCAGATCAGGTGGTTGAGCGAGGGCAGAAAAGGAAGGGACTAGGTGACGACGACGCTTGTTCGCTGGATATGTGGCTAGAGCACGATAATCGTGAGGAGTTCCTGAAAGACGTGGACTGGGAACTACGTAAGCTTAAGAAGAGACGTCAACACATTGGTTAAGACGGACAGAAGAATTCGCTTGATATCACGGTTGGACAAACAAGATTCGATCTCAACGTCCTGGGCTTTGGAAACGGAAGCATCCCCGCTGCATAGTCTCGAGAGGCTATACGGAACTTCGGAGCAAAATAGCAAACAAGAAATAATAACAGGGTTCTAGAGATGACAGCATGCAGCCAATATATTACACTTATCTGCACTTTCTGGCGATCTGTGCCATTGAGACGCAGTAGGTGGCCATGTGCAAATGCAGCGGCGAGGTCGTGGAGGGAAGGTTAGACTCTATGCTGGTGTTGAACCCAGGTTCGTTTAGTATGTCGTTCAGTACCGTTACCATCAACGTCCCCGTCCGTGTTATGCGGAGGCAAGGCTTTGCCAAGTTATAGGTTTCGAACCCTGACCCCTCGACGCTAGCTTCTGGCAGTCTTCTGATACAAGGACCTTATGTATGTGCTTCCATTGTTATTTACCTGTGCTTAATGGTGATCTGAGTCTTGGTGTTCGGGCCAGAGGTTGGGCAAAGAACCGTTGCGGTGAGCAGCGGTAAGGAACGAGCGACCTTCCACCTCTATCTTTAGATCCAACCATCTGCACCCTTCATTATTAGTGATACATGGCGGTGCTGATCTGGCCGGTTGAAAAATTATCTTCTACACCTATGGCGGCTGGGATGCTGATCGCAGGGCCGAACAGCACAATCCCTCCTATGGTCAGGGTTGCCGACGAGTCCGTACTTTCATCTAGGTCCCCTGCAGCTCTGAACGCTAGCCTTCATGGACTTCGATGGCGACGAGGTGTGTGGATTTATAGTGTTAATATTGAAGTAAGACTCGGACTAGAAACCCAGGGGCTTCAAAGAGGCTTATAAGGTGTCCCAGGCACGCAGAGCGGCAAGTCTATGAAGCTGAACCTATCCACCTTGAGTTCAACGACCAAAGGAGAAGTTGGAGCACTCTCATGGGTAACGGCCTGAGTGTGTATGTTCTGCTCTTCGACAACTGGATGAGTGCCACAAGAGGTTGCGATTGAAGCTGGTGCTGAGTAAACCCCAAACACGAGGGGCACGGAGACCCCGAGGCTGTCGGCAGGTCTGCTTGCTGCTCTGTTTCCTTATTATCTCGAAACCGTGGCTAATCTACAGTGGGGAATTTCTTGTTTTATGGTGGTCTTGTTTATCGGTTACGTCTCATTGAAGCTGTCGTCCCCGCCCCTCGCGAAGTCGCATGGCATCACAAAGTGCCCGTCTTGAAGTCTCTCATGACGTATCCCAGTATTTCTGTCATACACAGCAGGTAGTGACGTTGTCGATCGACTTGACATTGGGCATGTATATACCCTTCTAGACGTCAGAGGGATCAAGTTGATCTTCCTGCAGGTAACGATCACACTCTTCGCAGTGAAGCTTTTGCTAAAGATCATCTCAGGCGTATTTGAGTCTCCTTGAAGATTGCAATGTGAAACCTGTGTCTCCTCACTCACGTCTCAAGACTTCGAAGGCTTGCAGCCTTCATCATTTGCGGTGCTGTCATTATATAGCGATACGACGATAAAACCCCGCGGCGAATGAATGCACAAAGCCAAAGAATTCTAGGTCGATGGCATCTTCTTCATCGAGGAATCACTCTGTCATCTTCAACAGTTCCCATTGACGACAAGCCTTGCTGATCGGACAGCTACTGGCGTTTCGGTGGCGAAGAATGAAGCATCGGTGCAGGAGAGAATTCTTGACTTGCGAAATGAAGTTGCGAGAGAATGGTCGTCTAAGTGGCTGAGGTCTGTTGACCATGGCGACTTTTGCGTTTAGGTGCCGGAGGTCCTCTGATACATGATCATCTGAGCAGACCAAGATAGTGGCTTTGCTAGGGACGTGCGCCATGATGTAAGTGCTGCGTTCGTCGAATGGGAAGATTTCGCTGGCAAATAGTATTTCTTTTGTGAAGTGGGCATTTTCTCGTGTTGTTTGTCGTAAATGGTTGGGCCTGTTAAATATGCTGTGGCTTTTGGTCTGATTGTGTCCTTGGGGGGAAGCTTGGATTATAGGTGTAGTGTGAAGTTGAGAATTGTTTATAGGAGTAGATTCTTTTTTCTAGGACAAAAGCCTCTCTCTTAAGACAAAAAATCATTCAGCACTTAAAGTTTAAGGCAGTAATTATACTATTAAGGCAGATAAACCTTGTAAGATATCGAATTTTAAGATTCCAGCTTATTATAAAGGCCTTATTTCTTAAGCCTTAATACTAAAAGTTAAAAGCTTAATAGCTTTATATAAGGTTAATAGTATAGATAGAAAAATAACTTTATAGAGTTTTTTTTTAATATTAAAGAAAATATAAATAGGTTAATTTAAGATTTATATATATGCTATTAGAATAACAGCTATTTTATATATATTTCAAGCTTTTTATAAAAATATTAAAATTAAAATTTAAGTATAGAACGTAACTTATATAATTTATTTATTTTAAATATAATTATTATATTAATTTCATTAATAAATATTACTTAATACATTTAACTATAAGACTTATAGAATATAAATAAATAATGGTATACTATTATATAACTATATTAACTATTTGCCCTAGACTAATATATTTATCTTTAGACTATACTAGAATTTAAAGCTCGGGCAACACGCTCTTCAGAGGTTGACCATGCCATTTGTGGAAGTCCATCAACTGACAATATCAGATCCTCCCTCTCAAAAGCTTGTCTGATGTAGTCTGTCCCCGGAGTGCTTATAAGCAAGACCTTCATAGTTACAGCAACTGTCGAGTCGTTACATAGTGAAAGCAGTCTTGCGAATACTTTAAATGCGTCACGCCAAAGATTCGGGCGCTCGTAGAGGGCAACCCCGTCGGCTATGACAACAAAAGTCAAGTTGCTAGGTAGGGCGCAAACTAGCCACTTGAGCAAGTCAAGAACTTCATCAAGAGATCCGTGTTGTATATTCGAGACGTTGATTTCGCTCTGTAAGCGCCGCATGTCGAAGGCGAACTGCCGCAACAGCTGGTCAATCAAGCTTGTAAGCATGGCACGGCCACCAATCCGCGCCCCTGTTTCGCTGTCATCCGTATGTAATCCGCAAATCCACAAACCAGAGATAAACCGATCTCTACAGCGCAAAATCTCCGTCATTGTTAGAGAGAAGACGGACAAAGACGATATACCCGCAACCGACTCTGGGGGACAAGTATCCCATTGAACTAAAAGCTTAGATGAGAATGCAGAAATTATCCATTCTTGAAACAGCTTTGTCTCAATTATCTGTTCAGTTCGGACGATCTCTCTTTCTGGTAGTTGATGCTTTCTGCCTGCCACGAATGCCATATCATCCAGATCCAGATCCGCATGGTCAAGCAAGGACCTGAGCTGGTCTTGGCTCATGTTCCATTCTATGGCAGGCAGTGGCGAAAGTGACTCTGTAGAATGAATCTGGGGCCGAGGAGAGTTCGTGCGGAAATACACATTCTCTACATGCAAGCGAAGAACCTCTTGTTGGCACATCTCTAACTCTGATACAAGGTGTAGTGTTAGCAAAGTTCTATAAATCCTGGTTGACGCTTACCCTGTTTTTGTTTTACATGCTCGGACAATAAATCATGCATTGAATTGACGGCTGTAACAACATCTGATAGCTGTCTGCGCATATTTTGTGTTTCTTGTGAATCTTTGATATCAATTAGCATTAAAGTTGAGCTCGATGCCAACTATAAATGGTATGAACGCACATAAATGAAACTCATGAATATGTGATTTCGTAGCTTCCTGCAGGAGGCCTCTGCTTTTGCTGCTGATGTCGTCAAGACTTTCTGACAGGTCTTTTTCATAATCACTGCCAGACAAGATCGCCCTTCCGCCTTTCAAAACTGCAAGAAGCCAAGTCAGGTTCTAAGGCAATATCCGGCCCAGAGAAGGAGGTCTCACATTCATTCCTTAGGAAGAATCTGATAGCTTGCTCAATAGCACACAGCACGGCAACAGTCAGATCCAGAGATGCGTTGCGAATGCCCTCATCTTGAGGAAATGTTCCCAAAAATAGCTCAACGTCGGAAAATACATCGATGAGGCCATCAAAACCCGTGAGAACCTTCTCACGAAAGCGACTTGCCGTTTGAATAGCCTGGGAAAAATCATGTTATTTCTTTATTCCTTACCGGGGGGTCGCATTGGCCTTACATCTAGCAAGATCTCCACTGCTCCCAAGACAGGTGTCGCGGTAGGTTCGTTGGAAGCTACTTTGGATGCGATCTTGGTGACACCAATACCAGGAGTTATGTTGTCGGCAACTTTTCGTCTGACGCTGCGAAGCCATCCAACCGTGCCTCCCTTTTCTCTGTATTTATTGCGTGCTGACTCGAGCACGTCGTACACATCAGCCCAATCTTGCTTACCGCGAATGTCATAGTTAATATCCCGGGGCCTTTTCAGCGCGTCGGTCTTCTTGAACTTGTCCATGGCGTCGGTGAAAATTTTATTCCAAAATTTCATTGCAGCATAATCTGTCCAAATTTGTCTTGCTGGCAATGATTGTGTGCCAGTTTGCAGCCATGTAGCGGGGTTGCTTTGGATCATCTGTGTACTACTAGGACCGCTCAGCTGGAGGTATTGACTGTCGTGTATATATCTTCCAGACATCGGATCGAAGGTTAACAGTGATGTTCTGAAAGCTGGATGATAATTAGGGAGGCGATGTTCAATAAAGCTGGTCACTGCCGGCTGTGTGGCAATACTCGTAGGAAGGGGCTTTTTGGCTGCCATTTGCGTCGATGTTTTAGTTGCGATGGATTGATAAGAGACGGTGTGAATGGATACGGGGACGACGAGTAAAATTATCCCAAAACCAATTGAGATGCGCGCATGTGGTGGGCCTCGATATTCCATGTCTGCCTGCATGTCACCGAATGGAGCACACCACTACGGACAAATGTCCTCATAGAGCAGCCGGTAAGGCTTAAAATTGGGTACCCATGGGTTATTCTGTTTGTACCAAGACTTCCTCTTGGTTCTCGGCTCATATGGAATGAAAGTATCAGTGACACCTATGGGTACCGAAAAAGAAAACAATGTTTTCAGCAGGGGTTCGTCCGCCTCACTCTTCATCAGTGGCTGGAACGATAGATGTTCTGCCCTCATCTCTCAACTTGGAGACGGCTGGATCATCTCGGTGAGTTAGGAAACAGATCTTACTGGAGCGCATCTTTAGCTATTTCTGGCTTGTTGCATCAATATATTGATCAGCCGCAGTGCATCTAGGCATACGGTTCACCCATTGGTTGCTTCACTTTCGGCTTGCAGACCGGTAATGAGGGGTCAAAATCGGGCTTTGATATTCTCAGGCCATTTAAGCATATGTTGCGTGATTTAAAGTTGGTCTACTATAGTATGCTTTGTAGTGTCTTCACTAAAATAAACTCATCAACCATCTCTATCTCTATCAATAATCCGCTAACAAGAGAAATGGCTCCTGAAAGTTCAAACGTCTCAGACCAAATCCCATTGCTTCCTGCTTCGGCTTCCACTGCCAACCATGATGAGGCAAGGGGTCACGCAACAAGGTCCAGCATCCCGGTAGAAGGGGAAAAGCAACTATCGCATGAAGCAGCTGTACTTTCAAATACCATCCAAAATTTGAAACAGCAGATTCAAGAACTTGAACACCAATGTCTTCTCGCAGCCCCGAATATTGAAGAGAGTCCAACGGCGAAAGAAGCTGCCCGCGTGTCAGACGAATACAAGCGCATGGAAGCCTACCTCTACCAGCACAGAAAGGAATGGGAAGCCAACATTGGTCCAGGACCTTGGGACATGAATAATTTGCAGGTGACCGATTTCCACAGACGTCCTGGTTCGTTAGGGCCCTGGTGGTACCATTGGGAAATCTCTCAAGAACGCAAATATGAACGGCCGGACCCTTTCAGTCCGGTTTATAATCACAAAGGCCAGAAGGAAGAGGCGCTGAATAAGAGCCCGGATGAATTTGACTATACAATTGACTTCGGAGCACGACGAGAGAGCCTTCGAAAGTATTTCGAATGGGAAATGGATAGACTCTATCTGGTTGAAGAGACAGACCGACGAAGACGACAAAAGGATAAACAAAAGGAAGAAAAGGTTGTCCAGTCCGGCAAAGACCAGAAAGGAGATCAATCTTTGTCACGCGAGCCGAAATTGGATCATGTTGACTGGTACTCATTCAAGCGAGCACCTAGGGCTGATAAGAATCACGATTGTGTTATTCATATCTTGACTGGGGAGCCTGTTGTAGATGAAGACGGCTTGAATCGACACTGGTTCGGATATTCGGGACGACAGGAATCTCGACCCAAAACACAGAGAAGCGACTATGTCATCTCTCCTCTTCCTGAACGGATAAGAATTCGTTCTTCCATCCTCCAGAGTATTTTTAAGACAATTCTCGACACACCTCTTGGTGACGCAGAAATAGGCACGTTCGTGCTATTGAGACCTTTCAAGGCCCTTACATACTGCCAAAAACCTCTTCAAGATTGGTGTACGGCACTAGAAGAGAAGTTTAGACCATCGACTGAACATGAGGTTCTCGGGAATGACAAGGAGTCTGTTGCAGAGAGACCTTCTCACCTGTCACATCACAATGAGGCAGTAAACAAAGAAGAAAGGGATCAAGGTCATCATGGAGCTACAGGGGCAGGTATTCCATCACCAAGGGACCTAGATACTTCAGGATCTCGCACGGCAGAGGAAGCCGAAATTACCCAAGGACCACGCCTGTCTGGAAAAGATGACTCTGAGGAGGGAGGCCAAGGGGATGAGAAAAAGCAAAATGATTCAGATGATCTTACTAAATCCATAGCCGCACTCAAACACTTGAGGTGTCTCCTGGACTTTCTCAATTCCGATTTTATCGCTAAGCAGACATATCTGCTCGACCCTCTTTCAGATAAGATAGTCTTCTCTGATCTCTGGCATCTCTTCCGACCAGGCGATGAAGTCATTGGTAGCGACGGCAAACAGGCCTATCGACTGATTGGTGTCAGTAGTGCTAGGCATCGCGTTACATCGCCCCAGGAGCTATGGTACAATCCCTATTCCATGCGAAGAAAGTCAAAAGAGGGGGGCTCGCAGCAGAGGAAGCGTGAGAAAGCGCCTTTCACCATTGTCTGCTCCTACATCGACTTTGATGGCAAACACATTGGGCCTGTCGTCAAGATCTTCAATTTTAGGAGGTTCGATGGCGAGAAAAGCATTACCTCCTTGGATGTGTATCCTCTTAGGTATTACCAGGCCAAGCCATCAAACCTTATGAACAGTGAATCGGGCCATGGTCAATCCCACACGCAACAAGGGGACTATCGAGACTTTCTTATCGAGCGTGGAGCCACGTTTCTGGACGTTGCAACAGTCAAACACAAGTACTACGTGGGGCCAACTATTGACAGTCTGGAACAAATCGAGAGCCAAGTTGTTATTGATTTCGAAACGGCTTTCTCTATGGATGATAAGAAACAAAAGCTTTCAAAGCCGGACCTCCAGACATTGGTTGGGAATTCTTTTAAGGAGGAGGACGATGACGACAATAATAGTTCATCAGATGATGATTCCTGTCAAGGAGAATGCTGTCGAGATGAGCCAGTATTCAACGATGGTTTTATTGACGAGAGGCAGAGATCCGAGTATATCACCAGTTTGTTGCCCCAGACAGGCGAGATGAATAATCAGCCGTCTGTTGCCGTTATACCTCGGCCTCTGAAGGAGCTTACTAGTGGTCCTACTGGTAAATTCACTATTTCAGACAGCGAGCTCGCCATCATGTCGTATCGTGTGTTCGGGTTTGTCTTGCGAAATCGTCGATGGGGTTAGTTTCTCTCCTCCATGCCATCAATTCTTTTATGCATGTTAACACTTTCAACACAGCCCAACTAGACGTCTCATATCTCTCTGATGTTCATTCTAATGACATTACCGAGCTTGGGGATGATGAAATTGATGCAGGACATAAGAAGCAAAAGCAAGTAACTTCTTTTGACAACCTCGTTCTCGAGGAAGGCCACAAGACAATTATCCTGTCATTGATTGCACAACACTTTAGAGACAAAAAGTTGGCGAGCGGCCAAGTAGATAATCTTGACATTGTCAAGGGAAAAGGTACATTCTGCCCAATGTTGCTAAATCTTATCATTATTGTGCTAATTGGTCGATAGGAAAGGGTTTAATCTTACTTCTACATGGTGCCCCTGGGGTAGGGAAAACATCGACTGCAGGTAAATTCAAGAACTTGTTTCTCTTGTCACCGTAGCGCTAACGCTGATACCAACAGAGGGAGTTGCCGAGCTTTTTCGGAAACCTTTGTTCCAAATTACATGTGGTAGGTTCTCCAAGGCGAAGGCTGAATCTAGCCCCAGGTCTTGTTCAGATAAGCTGACATCTTTCCAAGGTGACCTTGGCACTACTGCTTCCGACGTTGAAATCGCCTTAGAAAGAAATTTTTCTCTTGCCAATAAATGGGACTGCGTCCTTCTCCTTGATGAAGCCGACGTCTTTCTAGCAGCAAGGACCAAGCAAGACTTTAGTCGAAACGGACTTGTAGCCGGTAGGTACACCTGTGAGATTAGAGGCAATAATTCACTATATCTAACCGGCGGCTCAATAGTGTTCTTACGCGTCATGGAGTATTATGCTGGTATCCTCTTTTTGACTACAAACCGCGTTGGCGACTTTGATGAGGCTTTTACTTCTCGTATACACATCAGCCTATATTACCCTGAGCTCAACCGAGACAAGACAGTCGAGGTTTTCAAGATCAACCTTGCCATGATACAAGAACGGTTCGCTAGACGGGGACGCAGCATAAAGATCGATGACTTTCGTATCGGTAGCTTTGCACAGGAACATTTTCAAGAGCACCCAAAGGCACGTTGGAACGGAAGACAGATCCGCAACGCTTGTCAAACTGCTCTTGCCTTGGCCGAGTTTGAGGCACAAGGAAACAGCCATGAGGCCATTCTCAATCCTGACGCGCTTGTCAAATTAGAAGTGAGGCATTTCGAGCTGGTAAGAAATGCATTCTTGGAGTTTGCAAACTACATGAATGATGTGTACGGAGTTGATTCAGCGAGACGAGCCAAGGAATCTCGATTACGTGCCGTGTGGGTGGACGAGAACGATCGAGTGGTAGGTGCTGATGCCTCGGGACCTAAAAACATGGATTTGTTCCTCGCATCTCAGCCGTCGAGTAACAGGCGGCAACAAGTAACGCAGGCATCAACTGTGCAGATGCAAGGACATCAGCAGCAGCAAAACTTGTTCGAGCCAGGCTTACACCAACATTCTCCGCAGCCTAGGAGCTATCAACCTCAGTACCGCCAAGAGTTTTCTCCCCAGTACCAAGTATATTCCGGTCCTAACCCAGGACAAGGACCAGAAAAGCAGTATCCTAACGTCTATGGGTCATCTGGCACGGACATCAGGGTTGCACAATCCCATTTCCAAGATTCAGCAGAAGGATACCAAAATAGAGGATTCTCTAGTCAGCAGCTTCCTGTTACGACCCCAGCGTTAACGTCACATGTACCTCACTTTTCCACCCAACCCTCAGACGACTCACGCCACACCAACTACAACCAGCCGTAATCCTAGGCAAACAGGCCTCTCAATGGTATTGCATTGACCATTGACTTGGAATGATTCTCTGGGTAGAGTGCTTTGTACTGTTTAGATCGACTGCCATTCTCTTGGTGGACAATTGTGCTCGACTAGGAAATGTGATGCATATTGAAAGCTCCTGTGCCCCAAGTGTTATTTGCCGCTGAGACCTGTGGCTGAGAGCTTAATCCGGTCGAGAGAAGACAGCTCCTGTGCCCCATATATGTTCCGAACAGTCGTGAGGACCGGTCGTTATAACGGAAGCAGTCAGGTCCCGCAAAGAGCTTTTGACAAGAACCCATTGCGTGTAGCCTGAGTAAGACATCCCCAGTGTGGTAAATGAGCCTGTATACCAGCTCTGCTAGCGCATCCATTTGACGACACCCTGTCCTCTCGCGTCACGAAGACACGGCTTATCGCGCTTCTTCTCCCAGATACTTCATCAGACTTCTCTTATCTCCAAGGATTGCCAAAATATGTGCAGATTGCACCTCCAATGGTCCAGAAGTAAGTCTTGTCCCAGCCTCTTTTGCGAGTCCAACGATTTAGTCCATCGCTGGTGTCCTCATTTAAGACTATCAACAAAGATTTCGTACCGGCGAAAGGGTTCCGACTCTTCCTTTGCTTTGATCTCAAGGCCAAGCTGCATGTTGTGCTATGCGCGCGAAGCTATGTCGTTGCCGATCCTACCATGGAGAACTTCAATTCCGATTCCAGATTCCACGGCATCTTTACCGACATGGGCCTCGTGGAAAAATACAAGCATGGCTCTGAGAATGTGTTGTGCGGTATGTTCTCCTCGCATGTTTGAGGGGAGGTCGGCTAATATAGTAAAGACAAGCTGGCCTGTGAAGCAAAACGGCTGCTTCGCAAGGTTCATACCTGGGAGCCGTTCATCCCAGTCACAATCAACGGGACTTCCCGGTACATGTGCAACACCAACGTCGCCATGGCGAATTTGACAACATTTGATAGTGCGAGGGATTGGATACAGGGGAATCGCATAAGTGACAAGGAAGAGAAGCGCCGTGAGAAGGAAAAGCGCGCAGGACGATCCACTAGCCATGCAGCACGAACGGTGCAGGAGAGCTCGGTAGAAGAGAGACTTGCTCTCTTGGACTTGACCCTCCCTTGTGAAATCTTTTGTAACAAGCCGGCCTCCGAGTCTGGTACGTCCCCTCTCCGGACTGCATATGGACTCACCTTGTAACAACACCAGCTACATCGGGGACGGTTCAACCGAGTGACGGTTCTGCGCCTGGAACGGATTTTAACTTGGATGACCTGGACCACCACACGATGGCACAGCTTATTGAAGACATGCAGAAACATCTGATGGAAGACATTCGTATGCTCTAGGGACTACATAGGAGAGGATACAGGAAATACGAAAAATGGAAACCGAACAGAAGAAGCCAAATTAGATTCAAGGGCTACGGTGATGGGACAGCTTAGGAACGGGCTGGGATTGGGGTGGTTGGCTTGGAAGGTTTCAACACAGGGTACAAGTCTTGCCGCCCATTGGGTTGAGACCTGTAGGGAAAGCCCGAAGTTGCCTGTGTGTCACACGAGGTGATATTAAAGCCCGGATGGCTGGCGTACTACTTCATCACCGTGGGAGGTTATGTGGTTGGTTTATAGTTTAAACTTTGTGGATTATTTGCTGTTTGTAGTAGTCTTGCTTCTTTGTAGTTGTTTTTGGAAGTGTCGCTTGTTCTTAGGTCAATATCTCGATATTAATTAAAATAGTAAATGGAAGAAGATGGTTTGTTAAGAAGACTACCCAAAAAGCATAACAGCAAAGCACAGAAAAGACTCCCATCTTGTTCCACCACAAAGTCAAAAGTGAAGCCATGTAGAAGTCGGAGTCGCCAAGATGAATTCCAAGGATGAAGTGCTCGAAAGGATAAACACCCCAGAGACCACAAAACACTTTTCGTGTCTTCCTCGTCATAAGAGGGCAAAGCAACTTCTGCCAAGACTAGAGCTCCATCAAAGACTTGAGAGGCCCACTGAGGGGCCGTCCGGAGGCAGAGAATAGACAAGCACTCCCTGAGGAGGACCTTTTAGCCCACAATGGAGCACTTGCCAGGCGAGAGGATGGAGTCGAGGCCGCCGACTGACTGGTTAGTGAGAGCAGAGAGTGAGTATTTGCGGAGCTGGACGTACTATAGGAGGCTCACAGGGCGGACTGGGAGCGCAGCCAAGGCGAAAACCTCACATCTTGTTGATGAGTGCGACGTGGGAAAACCTCCAGTGAATATCGAGAGGCGGGCCCTCAAGATGTGAAGACCTGGGTCTGCCAAATGGCGTAGCCTCGGCCAGATGCTCTTGTCTACGATGATGAACAGGTGAGAGGGATGGAGGGTTCTTCATACCGTAAGAGATGCTTCACCATGTCAGCACTAGTATAAACTACAATATTGCAGTTTGAACCATCCATTAGTGGTATATACTCTATAAAAACTGGCTAATTCGTTATATACAGTTCTATTTCACTATATGTAATGCATGGCGTCCTTGAGTAAGATCCCCTTATCTAAGAGTGATTATATTCAGCTGTGTACATTATATAGTGAGGCTAACTCCCCAAAACGACTGACACTGGTATAAACTACCCGATTATAGCTTATACTACTACGCTCCAGTTACACAAACCATACTATCGAAAAGATCAGTAAAGTGTAGTAAAGTACCTCACAAAGATTGACCTTTAGACTTATAATTGCCTTATTTCTCGAACATATTAAGCAAATCAAGATAAGGCCTTTCTACTTATAGCCCCAGGAGAAACAGAGTCTTAACTGCTACGATATAGTTTATACTACCTTAGACTCATGCTCATCAAGCTACACCGGACTAGAATAGTTACAGTTCGGATATTAGAACTTTTACTAAAACAATAAGATAATCCGCGGCTGTGTATCTCATACTAGCAGCACGCAATTTCTACACCAGCCGTTAGGTCAAAGAGCCAAAGCCCCTACTCTCAAAGATCATACTTCATGTAGTCGCTAACTCCTCAGCTCTACTGTACGTGCAGGTTCTGGGCCAATCAGATACAGTCTCGTCCATCCAGGCCCCGAGCCTCTTACTGCAATCAGATACAGCGCAAATCTTAGGTTATGGTTCTCTGGGAGGAGTTGAAATTATTGCTTACCAGTTTAAGCCGCTTGTTTATACCTTGAAATAACTTTACTGGGTATGTCACGCTACACCTGGACGTCTCACGCTCAACTCGTTGCGCAATAGCTTCATACATTGCTAACCAAGAGCCAACTCATCACAACAAACTGTTCTACATCAGCACATAGCTTGCATCGCGATGTGGTCTCTACCCTCGACGTATCCAACCAGTTCAGCCAATCCAGGAAAGCAACTACAGATCCGCAATCGCCATTATCATACTCTCAATCATTGTCAGATAAGAGACCGGTCGGGGGGTCTGTGAAGTCACTCTCGTTTGGGTCGTTACCCTCCTCAGCCTCTTGATGCCCTTCATGTCCGTCACGCTCTTCACGCTCTTCACGCTCCGTAAGCCTCCCACATTCCAAGGCAAACTTGTTGCCAACCGCTTCAAACATACTGTCGTACGGCTGCGACCCTACCTGCCACGCACTCAGCATGTCAGCCCCAGGCCATCGCGCCACATTCGTCCCGAAGAACAAGCCATGCTTGGTGAACTCGGAGATGCCAATGTCCAGCCGCACTGCAACTTTGAGCGACTCGAACTCGCGAGGCTTGCGCTTCAGGAGTTCCTGTCTCTGGAAGATTGCAAATCTTCGAAGCTCCGCTTCTTTGCGGTATGCTTCCTCTCTCGTAGCGTTCTGGGCACCGCGGTTGATCTTGCTCCAGTTGGTGAGGCAGCGGTCTGCGGTGAAGCTGGAGTGGTGGTCGTCAGGGTTGGTCCAAACACCCCTGGACATGGCCATCGAGAAGATGGTGTCACCCACCATGAACACGCTGACCTCTCCCCAATCTGCTACAGAGTTTCTGAGCTCCTGGTGGAAGTACACTTTTCCAGAGTGGTATGTGCCTTGATTGTAGTTTGTGTGACATTTCAGCAACTCGGTGAGTTTTGGGTCGTCAGATGAACCAGTCCGCGTATCGCCGGGCCCTGTGCTGGAAGAACCCCGCACGATCATCCTACCCCGGTAATCTCCCATCGTGCACTCCCGAGATTGGCAATAGCAGACCTGGGGGCGGAAACTGAACTCAGGCGGTGTTGTCTCGTCGCCGGCAATGGCATCCAAAATCTTGACGTCAGGCAGCTGACACATATCGGCGTCGTCCTCTTCAGGGGTTGGGTAACGTGATATGTCATTGGGGAAAACAAGGTTTGCTCGCCGAATCTGGTCGTTAAGACTTGCAACATCAAATCGATGGTCGACACTCTCTTCTGACAGGTGAGGGCGCCTCATGTGCGTCAAGAGAATGGCATCTTGTTCCAAGTTTCCCAGGTACGCCCCAATCGTGCCCTCCTTACCTTCCGCTGCAGCCAGTCCCAGCTCTTGAACTCAACCGTGAAAAGCGGCCAGCGTACTGTGCCCATAGAAGTGTGATAGCGATCCCGTGAACGGTCACTCTCACAGCGTCTGGTCCTGTAGGAAGCTCTTCGTCATTCATCTCTGCCTCCTCATAGTGCTTGGCACCCGCATTGTAGCACAGCCCAACCCCGGGTTCCTCCTCCAGCTTGTTGTAGAACTCAACGTCAAGTGTGTCGAGCAGGAGACCCTGGAAGTCATCGGTCGGTGTGACGTCAATTGATCGATCACCATGCTCACCGCGAAGGGACTAGGACTCAGGGTCGCCGATGGCGCAAAGCACAACGTGGACTCCAGGGCGATCACCAGACTTGTTGGGTGGGAGGGGGGCGGGTAAGGGGACTGCTGCACCGGCGCTACCATCTCCTCTCCTCTTGGCGTTGCTCAAGTCGATTGGCATCCACGCGGCTGTTTTTGAGCTTGATCTGTACCCCCTGCTGTCTCTGAGCCACTTCGGCTTGTATTGCCTCATGAATCGTAACCCAGCCATGTCTTTCGGAATGAGAGTCAACTAGTTTCTTTAGATCCTGCCAGAACTTGAGCTTAGCGGTGGGAAACATCCCCTGCAGGTCTGCTGGCGTTCTTCCGGTCTTTTCCGCTATCGCATTCTGCTGGTTGAGGATCCTCGCTTCTGATTGCTGGGAAGGGGCTTGTGACCTTGATCTCCTTTGGCGTGTATCTGAAGACATGGTTGGTGACAGTAGTGGCGATGCTTGGCTGGCTCAATGTAGTACGTAACGATGTCTCAGGTGGTGGGATGAGGCTTGAGCTGAAACGAGACTCGGTAGGGAAGTTGTGTTCTTACGGAATAAAAAAAATGTTTCTCAGAAGTGTGGCCTGTGTTCACGGATAGCTGCAGTAGGGCATGATTAGAGGGAACGGTAATTATTGGCTTATTAGATACGGAGTGCAAGAAGTTGCGGGGATTTCGTAGTCAAAAGGTTGTTTTTAGAAGCATCTTGGAAGCCTTGGTAATGGTAAAACGCCAATTCCATGGTCTTGATGGCCCCAAGTGGGAGGTGCAACATCCGCTTTGCATGCAGCTCCACATCCAAGAGTTCTGACCAAAGTGTGCACTAGCACAGCCCAATTTCGCAGCTGAAAGAAACACTATATACTACTAGGTATGCAGTTTATACTACCATACACCAAAAGCGACTATCTAGATGGATCTGCTGAGCATTTATATTTATTGCAGAACAAATTAATATTAACATGGTTCTGGACCCGTTCCCAAACATAATTATCTACCCGTTCTATACCGTATGGTCAATATATCATACGATAGCTTATGGTGGGTACGCTGCGAGATGTAGTTTATACTATCTGTACCTCGTGTGAACTGCACTGCTCTTCACGACCTGTGTTACCAAGCGTGGTAGGCGTTCGTAGTAATGAGAGGCAATTGCAAGAGTGTGTTCTCGACTCAACAGTGCAAGGTGTCCACAAATTGGCCCAAGATAGATGCATCATCGAGAAGGACTCCAATAATAATCAACCTTGTAGACTTACAGTTGGCAATGATATGGAACTCCTTTCACGAAAATCGACAGTCTAGACCAATTTAGGGTTAGTCTCAGCTGAAAATCTCATGTTAAATGATTCGCTGCTGTGTCTGTCGACCGATCCACTCCGATAAGATAAGCCTTTTTGGGTTATCGTTAGGAGGAGCTCTTCGTCATGAACATCTCATATAAGAAATTTATGTTGTCTCCAGGGTCTGTCTAACCCAAAGTGACTCCCTGGCTGGAAACCGTCAATATGTGACTGTAAGGCCAAATCGCCGCTAGTGGACAAGGTAGAAGACAAATCTCGCAAAAGAAATAAAAATTGCCTGTCTAATTCTTTGATGGCCCCCAGTCTATAACATAAGAAAAGTGTTCGATAGGCATGCAATAAAGCCCCGGTCTAAAACAAAAGAAAGTGCCCTGATTCCCAGAGTATCAGTCCGATCACCCTTCATATGTATCCATCGCATTCCCAAGCATCCTCCAGCGACTTTCCCAGACCTCCATAATGAGATTTAGTGCTGCTCTTACCCAAGACGCATGCGCTTGGTCTGTTTCTCTCCAGCCTCCTTTGGTGTAGTTGGACGAGAATGCTTCCTGTCGGGCCTCGGCGAGGCTGGACGAGAGTGCGTCCTATCCGGGCTCGACGGAGGCGCATCTGGCGGCAGCGGGCCCCAAGCCTCATCCGGCGGGTTGGCATACTCAAACTCGCCTGGCTGCCATCCAGGTTCAGAAGCTTCTGCGACCGTATCTCCTACTCTAATGGCCATTCGGCCAAGGCCATGGAGCAGACCGTTCCCGATATTCCAACGAAACCCGGACTCCTGAGGGTTCTGGAGATGAATGTGAGGCATTGGGCGACCAGGCTCGCCGCCTTGTTGTGTTTCGGGAAGTAGCAGCGGGATATGGGCCGGCTGTGGAGGTGACGGCATAGGATGGTAGTCTCCTCCGTGGTGATCTTGAACCAGTGGGGGGAGGAGAAAAGCAGGTTGGTGTTGTAGGGATGGGAGTCGAGCGGGTTGCGGAGGCGGCGGCATAATATGGTCCTTGCCTCTTTGTTCCTCCTGAGCTTCTGGCAGAGGGATGTCGCAGGCTGATGTCGTGGAGGCGGTAGATACAGTGACTCCTGCTGCAGGCGTCTCTCGGGCTGGAAGTAACCAGCCATCCCTTCCTCAATCAAGGGTTCCCGTTTCGAATCAACACGAAAGATTTGCCCTTCGTAATTTTCAGGCAGATCACCATGATACTTCCTCATAGAGATGCGCCATTTCTCCCGAACATTAAGCATGCCTTGGTAGTCGCTGATCCAGGTTGGATCTCTGGGATGCTCATGCAGCCGGGCTTCTGACAACGGGCAGAAATTAATCATGTAATACAGGTCCCCTGTGTTAAAGCTCCAGGGGTTTGATCCGCCGTAGCGGACATGCACGACAAAGAATCGTCGGAGCTCACGGCCCCGCCGATGCAGCTTCTCCATTCGCTTAGCTCGTTCGGTTCTGTTGGTCATGATGAATGGATATGATGGAGAATCGACGTGTTCAATTGATGGATGATTTGACGAAGTGCAAGCTCTGTAGAACAGGGTCAACAACGAGTGGGTGTATTGACAAGTAAGAAGGGGATGGTGTGTGACACGATGAAGATGTAGCAAGTTCGTATTGATAAGAGATCGATGAGGGAATGGTGAAATCCCAACTCTGCAGGAAAACGTTAATGCAGAGGGGAGCTCTGGTGAGTGATGGGGAAAAGGGAGGCGATGTGATGAAGATGTAGAACATATGGTTACGGGGTTGAAGCCAGGTGACTCACACAGTAGCCTGGTTGTTTTGAATGCTCTTTGTTGTGGTGTTGGCTTGACCAGGATACTCCCAAAAAGCCGCAAAGTGACTGATATCTGATGAGTTCATTGGAGGAAATGACAGTCGGTTCTCTTTTCAGTAGTATCCGACAACCTTGATTCCCACGGCTTTATCACGACGCAACTTGTCTCCTTACCGACATCCTCGCTTTTAGCGCGTGAAATTAACTTGAATTGGATTGCTGTATTCCTTTGAGGTCGTGTAGAGTCACCACACCTCTCCGACTGGCGATGTTGCTCTTGACGGGGACCTGCATACTGGACCAATCTAGAGGAAATTCACCGCTCGCAGCCGATTGAAATGCGCGGCATATAAATTCTTCTTCATCAGATGCCTTTCCTCTTTCGCACCTTTCCCAACTCCCCTCTAGCAACGTAACAAGCGCATATTCCTTAACCACACTAAACTCATATTCTACTGCGATTCCTCTTATCCACCTGCAACCATGCTAGCACTTGCTTCGCTCGGTAAGACATTCCGAAACATTCGGTCAACATTACTAATGCTTTCCAGTTTCTTGGCTTTGGCCCGAGCCAGTCTTCCAGCTAGAGCCAGGGACCCCTCCTATCAACCATTGCCTCTGGAACCTTGCTGCCGTGTTTACCGGCGGCCACATCGGCCTCACCCACATGCTTCTTGTGGTCCCTGCTGTATTCGTCTATTCTGTCATGATGCCGACCCGTATCCTCAGCCTTCTTTCCTCCCCCGCAGGACATCCTAAAGTCGAGATATTCTGGCCGGTGGTCCTTCTGGGCTTTGGTACGACCGTCGCATCCTCGTGGGCCTTAACAAACCAGGGCCCGACCTTGCTAATTTGGGTCCCGGTCTACTGCTTCACTTTCGGGGTCGTCCCTTATCTGTTGCAGCTTGTTGTTCTCAAGTTTCCCTCTTGTGCTCTCCGTATCGCTACCTTGTTAGCATGGATCTTGGTCGTTGAGTCCCTATCGGCAATCGAACGATATGGATGGAGCGAGAGCCTAATCGTGCGACACCGTTCAACTGCATGCCTCGTACTCGCTGAGACTTTTGCATATGCTATGCAATGGGTTGAGTGGCCACCTGAGGGATCCTTGGCCATTTAGGTTCCTTCTTGGAGAGCTCTAGGGATTTATCTTTGATTTGGATTGGATCTTTGGGTGGGTTAAGCGTCCATGATCCGATGTATGAGCGGAGAGTCTGGCGAGAAGATAGGCGGTCTGACAGGGACAAGGAAATATTCATCAATTCATTCTTTATCCCCAGTAATTCGAGAATGCATTTAATTCGGGTGGCGGAAGTGGAATGCGAGCTTTCATTCGCCTGTAAATGAGAGCAAGGGGTCTCGTGGTTGTGAGACACATATTCTGCTGCCAAGCATTAAGGTCCATACTAGATTTGCGCAGTTTTACACTGCATTAGTGTAGTCCAAAGTCAGATTACACATATACTAAAGCCGGAAAGGGCCTTGATCTAAAGTGTCGTGAATAAACTGGACAAGTGGCTGCTGTTAAAAGATGTACTATGCCACTTGGGTATATGAGGAACCTGAAGTTTGTCAATCATTTGCCAGCGATGTACTGGCGCGGTTTACTTGTAGGCTTGTTTAAACTGTAAATGCACAGTTTAAACTACATACATGCAGTCTATACTAGAGCGCAAGCAGTTCAGACTTCATTAAAGCTCAGCAAAACGAGAATAAAGGCCCAAAGAAGCTATCAAGTACACTTATCGAAAACTTCCACATTCAATTTCGTTGATACAGTATCTGCTGGTGATATTGAGTGCTGTTGAGTTTGCAGACTTGGAACATGAAGTTGGTCACACCTTGACAACGCCCGGCAGCATCTTCGCCATCATAAGCGGAGGTCGTAGCAGAGCCTTTGGTTGAATGCATTCTAAGCGACATTGATACATGTTCTACTTATCATTCACCATTCATGATGTGGAAAAAAGGCCTACACGATAAGCATTACATGTACAAAATGCAGGCTTTCAAGACCTTTGAATCGCCTCCGTCATTAACCTCATGTTTCCTTACCTTCTTATACTCCACAGGCATGCATTACAAACCTCGGAAGGAACGAAACTCACCATAAGTTGTTCTTTATGCTGCAGTGAGACAAATGATATCTCCACACCTATGCATCAGAACTTCAAAGGAATCTTACTTCACCGCAATTTGAGCCTTTATCCTGCAGTGATGCCAATGCAGACTTGCAGCACACAGAGCCACATCTGCATGCAGCAGGTTCATCAAAGAGCTTTGCTGTCAGATAGACTTATAAAACCCTCGTCGCGCCAGCATTCCTAACTACGATCTTTCCAACTCAATCTCAACTTCTGATCATTTTGCAGAGCACATCAAATTCTGAACACAGTCAACATGTCTGACATGCTCAATGACCCCGTCTTCTTCAACCTGACTCCAGATGACTATCGTCGAGCAGGTAAGTAACCTCATCAATGCCATTCCATAATATTACTAACAATCTGAGTTTAGACTTGAGCACGCCGCAGTTCCCGATCTCTCCTCTTTTTGAGCAATCTCAGGATTTCCATACCTTCGATAGCTTGGACTATCGGGCAAGGGCTGCGATAAAGGCTTACATAGATGACGCCGACGCTCTCAGTTCCCAAGAGTCATCCCTTTTCTCAGATGAACTCTCTATGTCTTCAGCCTTGAAACTTGGCCTATCCTCCAAAATCAACCCATTACCACTACCTGGCACCCCTGGCTATCAGCCGAGTTACGATGCCCTTCGTGACGGCAAAGATCCACGGGATCCTTCGATCATCCAAGAACAAGACAAGTTTCCACGATCTCCTTCTTCGGACATCGCCCTCAACAACTCAGTCATTCGAGAAGTCCTTGGCACTCGAAAGATCTACGGAAGTGGCAAGCCAGAATATCTTATCCATTGGGCAGGATATCCTAGAGGTCAACTCTCCTGGGTCTTGCAGGGCATCATCCGACCTGTTGCCGAGTATCAGATCATGTTCTTTGAGTATGAGCGTTGCTTGTCGTGCTATAAGGGACCGCGTGGTGAAATCTTTACCCGAAAAGATGCACCTTAGTGTTTGGAGGGTGATGAGGAGGATTGTGTCGGCTGCGCGCGATGCGGTCGAGGATGTAATTGAGGTGTCGTGGTAGTGCCGTCGGATGTTGTCACTTTTTATATATTGATGAACTTTGGGTTTTGCTCTAAAGATAGATTTGGTTGTGCTTTGGGTAATTTAGGTAATTGTATCGTTATTTCTTTTGGACACTTATGACTTTAACTTACATTCTGTGGCCTGTAACCATCACGATTTATTTGATCTTATCAATATGCACAGGCCACGCCCAATTGGCTATGTTAGTGATCCGTGCAATGAAATAGATGTATAGGGTAGTTGAAGCCTTAGGCTCTCTTTTGCAGTCCATACTCTTATGTCTATGAAAAGGTTCATGCCAAATCTACATAGCAAAAATGAGCATGATCATAGTTGCGATCGACCTGGAGACTCTTTAGAGTTTCTTGCTTTTTCGTGGCTTTTGAATATCGTTCATGATAAACCCGCAAGGTTGTAAAAACTTGCCACTCATTTGTTTGGGTCGTGTGCTTTTCCAAAGACGTTCGTCAAACTAAACATAAATTATAGTCCCAACTTATTCTTTGTGAATCCTTATCCTGATTCTATGAACAGAGCGTGGATTGGTTTTGCTTAGCGTGTGGAAGCCCTGGCGGGTCTCTGGCCATGCAAAAACGTTGGAGCCATGATGGCATTGAAGCTACTGGGCCCCTCAATGGCTCTGGGCCTGATCTTCTTTGAAAACCTCTATATGTCGCTAGGGTAATGTTTTATATACCCCATTCTATTTTTGCGATATCGCTCAGCGGCGAGCTAAAAATCACCACAAAGGAAAAGGTCAAGTGCTGCCACATATCAGAGCTGTTGTTTTGCGTGGCTTGCTTTGAATGGACGCAAAATTTCGCAGACTTGTGTGAGGTCGTGAGCTAGCAGAGAAAGAAGTGCGGGTATTTTAGACTGTGCAAGGTAGTAATGACTATGTAGTATAAACTAAATACCTTGGTATTCGGAGACCCAACTCAAACGACACGTGATGTATCAAGGTCGCCAGTTCCAATGCCTCCCCGCTCACTGGCTCAACTTCGCTCAGCGTTTTACCAGCCTGCATCAGCTCTGATCAACCCACTGGCTGAGTAACAGTCAGCGGCCACTCGCGTTCCTATGTCTCGGCCCTCAGCGTGCTAGTTTCGTCAACCCTCACCCCCTCCCCTAAACTCTCACGAACGAGATAGCAACATGTGAGAGCTTCCGGAGTGTAAAAAACTACCCAATGGACTGAGAGTCAAAAGTCTCTAGACATTTTGTGATAAGGTTGAGGGGCCAAAAGAGGCTTCAGCCTCCAGGCCACAAAGGTAAAGAACACCAAAAAAACACATACGGGCAAAATACTCATCGCCCTCACTGTTGCCTAGGACAACCATTTTAGACATTAAGTGGCTGGGCCGCCTTCCGCGTCAAGTTGTAAGGGGCCTTGGGCTGCCTCCAGCAGCCAAAGTAGGTCTTCCAGGCTCTCACAGCACTATACTCTTACAAAACCTCAACCACAGTCAGCCTTAGACCCCTTTTTGGGACCAGGATCCCACTTTCAGTCCTTTGA